AGTGTAAAACATGATATACTGTAATTCCTAACTGATTGGATACTGTACAGACGCCTATTAGATGCATCTCAATACTGGTGTTACGATTGCTTTGTACACTCAGTGTATGTGGAATGAGGATGGACTGAACTTAAAGGCAAGTAGGAAAAGTTAGAGGAGATATCAATGGAAAAACCAAGTGCAGAAAACAGTAATGGGTGAGAAGGTCGGCGTCTGTTCTGGTGCTGGTCAGTTTCAGGAAGCATCCCTGTAAAGACAAACTAATAAACTAAGGTACAGTAACCAAAATAGCCTGTTTAATGGATAAAAACAGGTTGGAAAAACTGCCATGTAAAATCAATTCTGAATGTTTTTGATGCATAAAACAACACAAATGTCATAAATATACCTCAATAGAAAACATAAAATATGGATATATAAGATATGAGTCCTAATTAAATATAACATTAAACATTACACACAACAGGACAAAAGTAGCTTAAAAATATTGCTGTATTGTTTATATATATATATATATATATATATATAAATTACTAAATAGACATATAAATAAATGCAGACATATTAATTAATATAAGATTTATGTATATTTTTTTAATTGTATATATATATATATATATATATATATATATATATATATATATATATATTGTTATGTTATTTATTTATTTTTAGATTTAGCAATTCTACTTCATATATTAATTTACCAAGTCATTTTTTTTAATTTTGTTTATTTTTCATTTTCGCAAATCTGGTCCTCCATAGTTACTGGCCTGATACATTCTGTTATTCAGTTATACAATCTGTTATTTATGTTCTCTGTTTCTTCTTTTGTTGTGTGTGCAAGGGGATTTGAAAGTTTTCCTTGTGTTCCATTTTGCAGGATTTACTTCAATCGTGTAATTTTAACTAAAATGAATCATGTTCTTTCTACTTAAGCGAATTATGTAGATTGTTATAAATACAACTTTTTTTAGTTAAAGCAACTCAAAGCTGATGCCTTTCTGATCACATTTACTCATTGCTTGTAAGTTTTGTCAGCTTAATTATATTTTTGTAAAATTTCCTTGAAGTGTATTTTTAACTAAATATAATCATGTTCATGCTATTTCATTAAATTATGTAGAGGGTTAAATAACTTTCTAGTAAAACTACTGAATTCTGATGTATTTCCAAATAGTTACTCATTGTTCATTATGTACAACACATGGCATTTATTAATGTACAATTTTAAATGTTAATTTTCATAAATTGAACTTCAACTACACTTATTAATGTTCCATCTATTTAAACACATTTGAGCAAAATCAGAGTTTATAAATTCTTAAACATTTTCAGTATAAAATAATACGTTCATTGTCTGAACACAGAACAGCATAAAACATTTTAACACCGCTGTGATATTTTTAGCAGTTTTCAACTCAAGTTACATGAGTAACTTGTTGGGACCAAGAGCTCTTTTCTCCTTGCCCAAAGCCCCGACATATGAGGTTTAAAATCTAAAACTATTCTGTGCTGGGGTTTTGTTCTAATTATTGTCTAATCACTTACAAAATATAAACAAAAATAAAAGAGTATTCAACCAAGAATAAAAGAAAGTAGAATAAAAGACTTCAGATGCTGAGCTCTTGTGGAAGGGAGGAAAAGGCCCTCTCTTCTTTTATTGAGCTTCAGATGGCAAGATGGTTTCCAGACAACCAAATGCAAAGATTATCACAAAACATCCTTTTTTTATATCCTGTTTGGGGCGATGAAACTATCTCCTCCTCATTACCTTGTAACATATGATCTTTGTCCCTATTATATCATAATTCATTGAGGACTCACTCGTGGGCGCCCTCTGGCATTTTGCTGTCCTGATGCAGTCCTGCTATAACGGGGGAAATAGGAAGAGGCCAGGCTCCTCATAAACCGGCTCTGCTTGCTCATCAAAATCATTTTCTGTTTGATAAAGTAAAAGTCTTGTACCTCTCTGGCGACCCCCTGGGACCACGTCATGGCCCCTTCGGTTGATAACCTCTGATCAAATCAAACATACGGGGCATTTTTTGTAAAAATAATGTTAAAGAGAGCAGTGAACGCTGGACCTGTTTCAGCACTATGGATAGTTCATCATCACCAACTCTCTCTCTCTCTCTCTCTCTCTCTCTCTCTCTCTCTATCTATCTATCTATCTATCTATCTTTCTCTCCATTTCCTCTTGAAGGGAATAAAAATTAGGATGTTTTGTGCCCATCATGCTCTTCTTCCATTTGACTCTTTTTTTGTTTAGTTAAAGTACTTTGTGTCTGTTTAAAGTGCCCGCCAGACTCATGTCCTGGCTAGTTTGTGTCTAGAACAGATGTTATAAGTGCAAATGTACCAGCCATATTATTGTTTTCTCTCCCTGTAGATCAAACATCCAGGAAGAACGAAGGAGAATCTGGTGGAGAAATCTCTCTTTCCCCGCTGCCCTCCTAATCAAGATCAAAGAGATCCGCAATAGTGAGATATACACCTATTCATTACGATAATTACTCAAATAATGCTCACATATTTATATGAAATGTATTGTTCCAGGTCTAAAATTTAATTTTGTTAGCCACATTCAAAGCTGTTGGAAAAGCAGCAGTCTTTTACTGTTATGTTGCTCGGCAACCTTAGTTTAATGTTAACAAACTACATTGCTTGGTGAAATAATTATTTCCTGTGATTGTTATTAGTAATTATTACATTGCATGTTGTTATACTGTATTTTGTCCCTGTATAATTACTGTTATGCACGGCTTTTCATGGCTGATTGCAATGCTGAAATATTTGAATTATCAGTAAAAATAATAAACATCTGAAAGTTTGCATTTATTTTTACTTTTTTCTATGTTTTTCGAACAGACAATCTGACAAATCTACAAATTCATTTGTAGTTGATCTGCTTCTCTGCATAATTTGTTACTCTATTGATCAATGATCAGGACTCTCACAGCACCAGCACAAAGCAGATCTTATCACTGTTTCATTCACAGCACTGCAGTGACACTGCCATGGCAGTACGTGGTACTAGAGTATGAGCATTATTTTTAAACACCTCAGTGTCACTGATGTACTGAGAATAGTCCACCAACCAAAAATGTCCAAACAACAGTGTCCTGTGACCAGAAAATGACCACTCCTGAAGGGCTAGAGAATGACTAACACAAACTGCAGCAGCAGATGAGCAGAGAGGCCACTGAAATACAGCCTAAATCTGACATCTTCCTTGAAGCCCTGTTCAAGTGGGTTTAGAATGCATTTTTTCAGACATTTATTTTAAATCAGAGATGACAAAAATGTCTAAAAATAATACTTAAGCGGACTGTGGAGTAAAAACAGTAGTGTATGTCCCTGAAGTACAGGTGTAAACCCATTCAGTGAAACTTTATAAAACACATACTTACATGAGATCAGGCCAGCTGTGTATGAGACACTGTTTCTCAGTTTATCTTGATAAACAGCTGCATTTTCTGATTCTGTATGGGATAATTAGTAAGACTGCTAGAGACTTTTTTCACAGCAAACAAACACAAAACTGGATTAACTGCTTGTTGATGATGATTTTGAAAATATGATTCATGGACTCTTTCTGGGATGTACACTCGATCCCAGTTCGGCAAGAGGTGGGTTTCAAATCCCACCTATGGTGATAAAGAAGTTATACAGAGACTTTTACTGGTTCCATCGTGAGCTTACGTGGGTATATTATGATCATAATGCTTAGTTTTGTATAGACTGATTTTCACCAGTGCAGAATCCTTTAAACAAAACAAAAAGCAAAATTATTTAGACTGTAGTCAGATCATTTATTGTGTTTTACAACCATAAACATTTAAAAGTAGAAAATGTATTAATGCACAAAAGCAAATTCACAACACAGAAATGTTGTGGTCTACTGTAAATGAATCTCATACAATGGTTGGATAAGATGGAGTTAAAACAAGCAACAACTTTCTAACCGAAAAATTAGAAGCAAGGGATTTATTGAAATAATACAATAATAGTATGTTTTTTTGTTCATTATATAACCTACAGTAAAATATAATAACTAACATTAGTTGACTCATTATGTTAATTTGTGTATAAGATTTACACTACATATAAAAGTTAAATATGTAAAATAAACACTCCAAAAGTTGTCAATCTGTACACGAGACACAAGCATTGCTTATTTTAGCCTTGGCTCAAAATCCCCACCATCAGAAGCTAAACAGGTAACCGCACTCACTGCTTTTTCACATGATTGGAAAACAGACTTAGATGTAGTGTATTTTATTTAGAAGGATGACGTTCTGAGACAAATAACTCAATAAAATATGATACATAAATCATAAATAATGCAACCTTTTCAACTCCTTGAGACCACCCGTGGTTCCAAAACACACTTCGTCATATTCTTCATAACTTTCATATTTCATAAGCTACATTCAAAAGGTGGGGGTCATATGAGAGCTGTAACTGTCCTCTTTCCAGTCAAATAGATGGGTAATGTAATTTTAAACCCTTATAATAAAAGAAGCTGAACTCACAATTTTGTTTGTCTACTGAAAGTCGACCCATTTTTCCACAAATCTAGGCTATAAACTATAAACAGATGGCGTCTCTTCGGTGATCTGCTCTGTAAAAATTATTTTTATAAAATAATACAAAGAGCGTCTAAGATTTTTGGCTTTCAGCAGTAAATTGTAAGCATATAGCAATATGTGTATCATCATAAAACATAAATTAATTAATTAATTAATTAATTGATTAATTAAAATAAAATAAAATAAAATAAAAATTTAAATTTATTTCATGCAGTTACTGATAATTTGCTTTACGATTTGGTCATGTAAATTCAGATGGAAAAACCGAAATATACCCTGGTCAATAAGAGGTTAAGGCATAAATCACTAAATGTAGTAAAACATGAATGCACATATGAACAACTATAAAACTATATTTATGAATTTCGGCTTTAAATGTAACTCATTAACTTTGTTTTCTTTGTGGTCACGTGCGTGGTGGAAATCCATTTATGGGGAAAATGCGTCAACCAGGCGCGATGACCTCATAGAGACACGTCTCCATGGTGACGGGCGGTTATAAATACAGGAAAGCCGTCTGTTCCCTCACAAACAGTTTTTCGTCACAGGAGAGTCGTTAACCGGTTCGTCAGTGAGATCAACAAAAGGTCGGTGTAACTCTCAGATTCATGCAGCTTTACTAAGACAATTATGATATGCTAAGTCCAAATTATGAGAGAATAAGTCGTTTTGCTGTGTAAAATCATCCTTATGAGGCACTAAAGTCATAATTATGAGATATTAAATCACAATTATGGGAAACTTTCTCATTATTGTGACTTACTAAATGGCTATGGGCCGTTTCCAGTGGCAGAAACAGGTTACCGCAACTTTACCATTCAGACAATATTAACAGTATCTAATGTACTGAAATTAACGAGTGGTCTTTTTGGTTATAAAACTCAGTAAATGTTAGACTCGCGTTTTATTAAACTGCAGTGTTTAATGCAGAAAGATGTGCTAATGCGCTTCATAGCCTTCAGTTACGACAAGCTAACGCGTTAGCATTAAAATCTTGATATTTCACAAATAACCATTTTGGAAAAATGAATAGAACTTCCTATTAATAAGCCCTACTAGATTAAAGAGGCTTTATTAATGTTTCCCACGCAGGAGGATTAAAATTCAGTACACAGTCATTTGGGAAATTATGATAATCATTGTTTTTTAACATTTAGCATTTGACACTGGACAGCCTCCTGCTGAATTTGGAGTGTAAACTGTTTCTCATTCACTCTTCTGATAATGAAGCACTGGATGCTGAAATAGTTAAATCCTTAAACAATACTAACAACTATAAATTTGTATTTATGTTTTTTATTTATGATTTACCAAACCAGAACACAACACCTGTATAAGGAAATAGGAGAGAAGAGAAGGAAGACGATGCAGGTACAGTGTTAATAGTCCTCAGCAGCTATTTATCAAACACTTAGTAACCACACCTGTATTAACCCAGTCATTTTGTAACTTATAGTCAGCAGATCCACAGGAGATGGAGCAGGAGAGAAAGCTGCGCCCCCCACCCAGTCCCACAGCCTGCGGGTGCTGGAGCGACTGCTTCACCCTCTTCAACAGGAGGGACCCAATCCGGGAGAGCCAGAGAGAGGAGGAGCAGCTCCAACAGGTTCAGGGAGGAAGGAGAGAGATGGACCTGAAGGAGAAGACAAAAAAGCAGAAGAAAAAGGGAAAGAAGCAGAGGAAGCAGGACGATAAGAGGAATCTGCAGAGTGCCAGAGAGAGCCATGAAGAGGTGGTGACGGGAATGGAGCAGATGAAACGAGAGAATCACATCAGAAGTTTGGAAGAAAATATAAAACAGCAAGAGATGGAGATTCTCAGATTCCGGGAGAGAGAAGAAAAGCTAAAAGAAAAGCTGGAGAGAATGAAAGAGAAAATAGCCAGGAAAGAGCGGAAGACTCTCAAAATTATACAGAGAGACGAGAAGCTGAAGAGAGAGCTGCAGGCGATGAAAGAGAGGCTGGCACAGAAAGACAGACAGAGCAAGGAAGAAAGGAAGGTCACCAACCTAAAAACAGTGGAAATGACAATCACTGTACGTATGAAAGAAGAAGTTAAGATGGACGGAGAAATAGAAAAGCAGGAAGAGAAAGAACAACAGAAAGAGAGTGTGAGGGATGAGAGCGACACTGTCCCTCAGGAAGCCGGCCCACAGCCTCAGGCCATCACTGAGTCTAAATCAGAAGATCAGGTTTCAGAGGCTCAGACTCAGGTCCAGGCTGATGGGTCAGAGAGTAGAAAGGCAGCTGAGGAGAAGATGAAGTGGACCGGCCATGACAGCGGGGAAGCAGTGAGCATTGAGGTGGAGAACCTTCAGGTGAGTCTCTACTCACTACTACGAATTATTCTGTTACTATTTTCTCTAAAGGCCCAATCCCATTTTACCCCTGCCACTTCGCCCTTAGCCCGATCACGTCTAGGGGTAGGGTGTCCCAATTTTTGTTGAGATATAGGGGTAGGGCCAAGTGTTAGGGCTACATGGCCCTCCAAACGGAGGTTTTTCAGAGACACGCTCCAAACAGAGTGTTGTGAGAAAAAAAGAAAAACCAGCAAGATGGCTGCAGAAGAGACCAAAGAAAAAAAGTTAAAAAATTACAATGACCATTGTTTTAACTTAGTTTAATGTCATTTGAATGTATTATGGTCCTTCTCTTTATAACAAGCATAAAAAATCACTAGTATTATGTCTCGGTAGCTAGCTGGCTAAATTTCCCGTTCGACCTCAAATAGTCCAGCAGTACTGATGCCAGAATATAACTGCGGCTCTATTTAAGGTGGAACGGGCAAGTTCGAAGTAAAAGCTGGCGAAAAAAACTGACGTCAGCTTTATATCACAGAAGAATTAAGGGTGGGCAATAATAAATAATTATCACATCCCCCTCTTAGAAAGTATAGGATGCTCTAAATTTAACGCCCATCAGTGAGGTCACTGAACTTTACCCTCCTCTGCTATCACTGCAGACTGGCAGGGTCGCCTGCAGAGCACTACTAGTATCCTGTTAATAAAGTAATATTCGTCTTTATTTGAGGGTCCCATTTCGTAGAGGAGATTTCACCCACTGCCCGTTGTGACTCAGTTCCAAGGGGCAAGGTGAAACCTGAAAACAAGGGGTAGGGGTAAAAATAAGAAATGGGATTGGGCCTAAGAGTCAGGGAGAGAGTAAATTTAGCCAATTCGGTGAGTTCGTCAGCTGATGAAGTCTGGATTGTTGTTTAGATTCACTCAGAGCTGTAGAACTCACACATTCCGTTCTGTTGTGTTAAATAACTCTATGGAAAGTTGGTTAGATGATATAATCTGCACCTTTCGGTAAACACAACCATGTCTTAACCTCTCAGGTGGAGCCTGCAGCACGGAGCTCGTCTGGAAGCTGGATGTTGCAGAGTGTGCTGTCCTCAGTTCGCTCCTTCGTTCAGGTACCTATTTCCTTCTGCAGTGTACACAAAAATGCCATTTTTAATATATGGGAAAATTAAGTCAAGAAACTATGAATTTTAAAAATATTTTTTTCTGTTAAAAGTATTTCAGTTACAAATTATAACTTGCCTGCATGTTTATTCACATTGAATAAGTAGAACCTCTCTACTCTAAAACTTGATTATTGTTTGTGACAGACTCAGAAAAGCATTCAGTGTTTCAATCAGTGAATTATTATATGTATTGTTGTTAACTTTTTATCTCTACCCTGCAGCGCCTGAGATCCCATTTCTCAGCTGTGCAAGTTCAAGCTGAGAAGGAAGAGGAGCATGAGGAAGTTTCTCCATCACGTCCGTTGATTCCGCTCGGAGCGCCGGTTGGTGTCATTCATTTTTAGGACAAATGAAATAGATTAATTTAAATATATCTCTGTTTGAGCTTGTATCAAGTGTAAAGTCACATTAACAGGGACTGCATTATGGAATGATGCTAACGAATGTTTCAGGCTTATAAAACACTCTTGAAATGTATATTGTTTTCATTCGACAGACAGGGGTCCTGACTGTACACCTGAAAGCCTGCAGAGACTTCAGGAAATCTGGTAAGCTTAAATTTTATGGCAGTCTTAGTGTTTAAAGTCTAGTCTTAGTGTTTGTGTTTGTACTAATATCTAGCACAAAACTGTAATCACTTGATTTTGTCTTCATTGATCAATAATGCTGGTTTTGGTTTGGCTATTTTCCTGCACCAGCTCTTTTGAAGAAAGGCACTTGGGCTACTGTGAGGGTCACTATTGGGAGAATGGTGAAGTACACAGAGCAGCAGCCCTATAATAACCCCACGTGCTTCAACGAGTGGAAACACTTTTCCATACAGGTCAGTATTACTTATCAATGACTTCTCTTTGGGCATGGCAGACAAATAGTTCTTTAACTCTCTGGGGTCCATGGGCATTTTCTCGATTTCATATCGTTGCCATCCAGCGAAACACAAGTATTTTAAAAAATGGCAAGTGTACGGGCCCTTTTTAAATTTTAAGATAAGTTAATATACTTGCCATTTTTGAGATACTTTTTTGAGAGATTTTTTATCTAATTGATTTTGTGGCATTTCTATTGGTCCAATCACCGTGAAATTCTCACACAGTTTAAAGTAGAACTGCGATGTTCAAATGATGTGGAAAAATAAAAATCAACAAAAATGGGAGATACACGTTTTTCTTTGGGCTGCGATGATCTTCATAAATTTGCCTCCAAAGGCACTTGTGTATAACATGATACTCATATGTTTTATATCAAAATGCTCTGTCTGTGTTGCTGTTTTACAAAGCCACTGCAGCAACATGTGTAAACTCTTTGCACAACAATTCACTTGTGTCTCTGATCCTGAATGAAAAATGAGTTTTAGCAATGACACACAGTGAAAGGCAGATGACGTGTATCTCAGCCTCTCTTCATAGCCTCATAACTCTGGATGTGAGTAACATATAATCTTGCAATGAGAAGGAATTGAAAGGGCGACTCTACAGGTTCAGAAAATGTTTGAACTGTATTTCTGTGGTGTATCACAAAGACAGAGAAACATATTTAGAAACATCAAATTTGATGTGTTTGTGGAGTTAAAACTGAAGATGCCCTGATCATGAAATTGGTCCTCAGAGTAAACCAGATGACTATGTAGTCATGACTGAGCAGGGGCGCCAGACTGTAGCACACACTAGATTAGCATGAACAATTATTAAATCGCATAATTGCTTACTCAGAAAAAACACTTTAGACTTAAAACGTGGATATAATTGCCAGCAGGCAATTCTGTCAGTAAATTTTTATGGCGTGTTTCTGTAAAAGACTTTGATGCAAACAACAAAAAAAATCCTAAGTGTTCGACAAAAAGGCTTTTAATCTGTTTCAGTTAGTTCTTTCAGAGAAACAGGTTTGTTAAGGAGTATAAGGAGGTCAAGCTATAAAGAGTCAAGCTATAAGTATTGCTACATCCATGCTACAAGCTAACATTAAAGTCAAATCGCATTAATTGACAGTAAATGGAAGTAAAGCTACTTCTGTTCTGTAATGCTATTGTAACACCAGCTGCTGAAACTGTAGGCTACAACTGCCAAATCAACCTAACTACCACACTTGGCAAAGCTTGCTGAACTGCTTGTCCAAAATAACTGAAATCCTACTTGCTTTTCTTGTCCATTTGTGTTTGCAGATCCAGCAGGAAGAAGTTTTAAGGGTTCAGCAGTCCACTGTGATGGTGGTAGAACTGCTTATTTGTGATCCTAACTCAGCTGCCCCCAGACTCATGGGGAGAGACACCATCACGCTGCAGGAGATCCTTAAGGTGAGACACGTTCTCATTCTTATGCCTGTAGAAAGTTTTCCTTTAAGCCACTCAGTGTCACTGATTACCAGGAATGAGAAGGTAATCATTTTTTTCTCTTTTCCTTCAGAAATCTTCATTCGGCCACCAGTTCAACTTGAGGCTCAGACACCAGGTAAAGTGTGCATTTGTAATATTCTGTTATTTTATTTTCTGCTTGTCTGGAAGAGAGAAAGAGATATATGATTTGATTTTCTTATATTTTCAGAAAGTTTGCAAGTTGGACGCAGAGCTGGCGTTCACATACGGCTCCTTGGGCTACGGGTACTCTCACCAGGTTTGTGTCTAGTACAGATGTTATCAGTGCAAATGTACCAGCCATGTTATTGCCTATAATAATATAGATGGTGATGGTGAGCATGTTGCGTTTTCTCTCCCTATAGATCAAACATCCAGGAAGAACGATGGAGAATCTGGTGGAGAAATCTCTCTTTCCCCGCTGCCCTCCTAATCAAGATCAAAGAGATCCGCAATAGTGAGATATACACCTATTCATTACGATAATTACTCAAATAATGCTCACATATTTATATGAAATGTATTGTTCCAGGTCTAAAATTTAATTTTGTAAGCCACATTCAAAGCTGTTGAAAAACACTCAATATACTGAATTCTATGTAAATTCGACAAATTATTAAAAACTGTTAATGAAATAGTCTTTTACTGTTATGTTGCTTGGCAACCATAGTTTACCGCTAACAAGCTACATACTTGGTGAAATAATTATTTCCTGTGATTGTTATTAGTAATTATTACATTGCATGTTGTTATACTGTATTTCGTCCATGTAAAATCACTGTTATCCACGGCCTTTCGTGGCTGATTGCAATGCTGAATTATTATTATTAATTATTAATTATTAATTATCAGTGAAAATAATACACATTTGAAAGTTTGCATTTCTTTTTACTTTTTTCTATATTTTCCATATAGACAAACTGACAAATCTCTCTCATTCTTTCTCAGTAATGTGACAACCCCCTCCACACTGCCCCAAGTGGACATCATTCCCTCTCTGATGCAGCAAGACACACCAAGAGGCGCAGAGTGCAGGATATCTGCTGGCCTGATGGACTGCATCCAAAGGAGAGGCAGGTCAGTGTCATGCTTCATCAAGGCCTGAGCTGAGACTATGGATGAGCCACACTCAGCTTGGTCTAGACTTTGGTTATTTGTGTAGTGATGCTGCACATTAATAAAACCACATAATAGAAACGTAAAAGTTTAGACATTCCCAATTTTTATTTCACTTTCTTGATAATTAATTTTAATATGTTTTTATAAATCTGAAGAAATCTAACACTACGATTTGAGTCAGAGATGAACAACTCTTTATGGTTGTGTTTGTGTGTATTTTTCAGGTTGTTACAGCTGCATAAAGGCTTGCAGGAGTGTACGACAGGAGAGGATAGGGTGCAGTTTCTGGAAAACCTGATTCTAAGGAAGAGTCTTGGCACCAGCTATCCCTGCAGAAAGAACGAGAGCTCTGAGGTGTAAGGTGTGTGGGTGCACATGCTTACTATATACTACATACTGATTTTACTGAACTCCAGTGCTAGTGTGGTGTGTTGTTGTGTGATGTTCTGTGTTCAAAGCAAGGTAATATTGTCTGTGACAGGTCCTGTCTAAAGAGGAGGAAATGAAGAGAAATGAGGAGGACGAGAACTATGGAACGACAGAGACAAGAACAGGAAAGGCTACATGCAAGACGAGGAAGTAGAGAGAAAAAACAGCAGAACTTGAGGTCCGTCTCCATTTCTCTCAGCACTGGCTCGTCTGTTCCTCTTCATCCTGCTCTATTCCCACCATCTCGACTCGCCTGCAGCAAACAACAACAAAGTGCTGGATCTAATAAACAATACATTACAAATAAAAAAGCAAATAAAAACACATCACAAAACCTGGTTAGTTTATCCTTCTCTGTCACTCCAACACCAGTCACTCAACATCTGTCACTCAGATTTGAGCTTTTAGATCTCAAAAGGAAATTATTTTGTTGCAGCAGCAAAGCACAGCACCCATAACACAGACAGTTCTAAAATAAAATACACATAGTATAAAATAGAGGACACTGAGCTGAAATGCTGAAAGCACTGAGATAAGACATAAATATAAACACTGAGTTACTCAAGTGACTTTTATTCGTAGTGGGTTAGCATAAGCTTTAATCGAAATGGGCTCCCAGCAGAACTGTTAGCCTGCTAATGTTAGCTAAGCTTCCGTTAATGTTAACAACGCTAACAACTGTACACACAAGTCTAAATTTTTATAGAAATAGAACAGAAATTCTAATTAAATCTGAGTAACTACATATGAGACAGTTATACACCTGTTTAGCGACCACGGATCAGACCTGTTCAGTCATTAGAAAGAGGTCAGTCATTTGACCAATGCAAAATAACATAGGCAATATAAGACCTGCTATGATCAGAAAATTAAGTTCTAAGTGTAAAACATGATATACTGTAATTCCTAACTGATTGGATACTGTACAGACGCCTATCAGATGCATCTCAATACTGGTGTTACGATTGCTTTGTACACTCAGTGTATGTGGAATGAGGATGGACTGAACTTAAAGGCAAGTAGGAAAAGTTAGAGGAGATATCAATGGAAAAAACAAGTGCAGAAAACAGTAATGGGTGAGAAGGTCGGCGTCTGTTCTGGTGCTGGTCAGTTTCAGGAAGCATCCCTGTAAAGACAAACTAATAAACTAAGTAACTAAGTAACCAAAATAGCCTGTTTAATGGATAAAAACAGGTTGGAAAAACTGCCATGTAAAATCAATTCTGAATGTTTTTGATGCATAAAACAACACAAATGTCATAAATATACCTCAATAGAAAACATAAAATATGGATATATAAGATATGAGTCCTAATTAAATATAACATTAAACATTACACACTACAGGACAAAAGTAGCTTAAAAATATTGCTGTATTGTGTGTATATATATATATACAAATATATATATATATATATATATATATATATATAATTACTAAATAGACATATAAATAAATGCAGACATATTAATTAATATAAGATTTATATATATATATATTTTTTTTAATTATATATATATATATATATATATATATATATATATATATATTAATTGTTATGTTATTTATTTATTTTTAGATTTATCAATATTTTTTGCTACTTCATATATTAATTTACTAAGTCATTTTTTTTTATTTTGTTTATTTTTCATTTTCGCAAATCTGGTCCTCCATAGTTACTGGCCTGATACATTCTGTTATTCAGTTATACAATCTGTTATTTATGTTCTCTGTTTCTTCTTTTGTTGTGTGTGCAAGGGGATTTGAAAGTTTTCCTTGTGTTCCAGGTTACACTGTGACCAGCAGTCTGGATCTTCAGGGTTAAAGGTTGGTGAATAAGCAGTTATACATTAACTCCAGCGTTTGTTAAAACTGTGTTAGAACCAGAGAACCTATAGAGAGGAGAATTAAAACTCTGGAACGTTAATGTTCTCCAGGTTTCCAAAATGAATGGGTTAAGAAAAAAATAACCCTTTGAATTTACTTAATTTTTTTTCGTCAAAGTCTTGCACGAAATTAAATATCTACATTCAGAGATATAATTTGAGTAACATTTACTTATTACCTATAAGCAATGTCAACTTAACTATATTTTGCAGGATTTACTTCAATCGTGTAATTTTAACTAAAATGAATCATGTAAGCGAATTATGTAGATTGTTATAAATACAACTTTTTTTAGTTAAAGCAACTCAAAGTTGATGCCTTTCTGATCACATTTACTCATTGCTTGTAAGTTTTGTCAGCTTAATTATATTTTTGTAAAATTTCCTTGAAGTGTATTTTTAACTAAATTTAATCATGTTCATGCTATTTCATTAAATTATGTAGAGGGTTAAATAACTTTCTAGTAAAACTACTGAATTCTGATGTATTTCCAAATAGTTACTCATTGTTCTTTAGGTACAACACATGGCATTTATTAATGTACAATTTTAAATGTTAATTTTCATGAATTGAACTTCAACTACACTTATTAATGTTCCATCTATTTAAACACATTTGAGCAAAATTAGAGTTTATAAATTCTTAAACATTTTCAGTATAAAATAATACATTCATTGTCTGAACACAGAACAGCATAAAACATTTTAACACCGCTGTGATATTTTTAGCAGTTTTCAACTCAAGTTACATGAGTAACTTGTCGGGATTAAGAGCTCTTTTCTCCTTGCCCAAAGCCCCGACATATGAGGTTTAAAATCTAAAACTATTCTGTGCTGGGGTTTTGTTCTAATTATTGTCTAATCACTTACAAAATATAAACAAAAATAAAAGAGTATTCAACCAAGAATAAAAGAAAGTAGAATAAAAGACTTCAGCTGCTGAGCTCTTGTGGAAGGGAGGAAAAGGCCCTCTCTTCTTTTATTGAGCTTCAGATGGCAAGATGGTTTCCGGACAACCAAATGCAAAGATCATCACAAAACATCCTTTTTTTATATCCTGTTTGGGGCGATGAAATTATCTCCTCCTCATTACCTTGTAACATACCATCTTTGTCCCTATTATATCATAATTCATTGAGGACTCACTCGTGGGCGCCCTCTGGCGTTTTGCAGTCCTGATGCAGTCCTGCTATAACGGGGGAAATAGGAAGAGGCCAGGCTCCTCATAAACCGGCTCTGCTTGCTCATCAAAATCATTTTCTGTTTGATAAAGTAAAAGTCTTGTACCTCTCTGGCGACCCCCTGGGACCACGTCACGGCCCCTTCGGTTGATAACCTCTGATCAAATCAAACATACGGGGCATTTTTTGTAAAAATAATGTTAAAGAGAGCAGTGAACGCTGGACCTGTTTCAGCACCATGGATAGTTCATCATCACCAACTCTCTCTCTCTCTCTCTCTCTCTCTCTCTCTCTCTCTCTCCATTTCCTCTTAAAGGGAATAAAAATTAGGATGTTTTGTGCCCATCATGCTCTTCTTCCATTTGACTCTTTTTTTGTTTAGTTAAAGTACTTTGTGTCTGTTTAAAGTGCCCGCCAGACTCATGTCCTGGCTAGTTTGTGTCTAGAACAGATGTTATCAGTGCAAATGTACCAGCCATATTATTGTTTTCTCTCCCTATAGATCAAACATCCAGGAAGAACGATGGAGAATCTGGTGGAGAAATCTCTCTTTCCCCGCTGCCCTCCTAATCAAGATCAAAGAGATCCGAACTAGTGAGATATACACCTATTCATTACGATAATTACTCAAATAATGCTCACATATTTATATGAAATGTATTGTTCCAGGTCTAAAATTTAATTTTGTTAGCCACATTCAAAGCTGTTGGAAAAACAGCAGTCTTTTACTGTTATGTTGCTTGGCAACCATAGTTTAATGTTAACAAACTACATTGCTTGGTGAAATAATTATTTCCTGTGATTGTTATTAGTAATTATTATATTGCATGTTGTTATACTGTATTTTGTCCCTGTATAATCACTGTCATGCACGGCCTTTCGTGGCTGATTGCAATGCTGAAATATTTGAATTATCAGTAAAAATAATAAACATCTGAAAGTTTGCATTTCTTTTTACTTTTTTCTATGTTTTTCAAACAGACAATCTGACAAATCTACAAATTCATTTGTAGTTGATCTGCTTCTCTGCATAATTTGTTACTCTATTGATCAATGATCAGGACTCTCACAGCACCAGCACAAAGCAGATCTTATCACTGTTTCATTCACAGCACTGCAGTGACACTGCCATGGCAGTACGTGGTACTAGTGTATGAGCATTATTTTTAAACACCTCAGTGTCACTGATGTACTGAGAATAGTCCACCAACCAAAAATGTCCAAACAACAGTGTCCTGTGACCAGAAAATGACCACTCATGAAGGGCTAGAGAATGACTAACACAAACTGCAGCAGCAGATGAGCAGAGAGGCCACTGAAATACAGCCTAAATCTGACATCTTCCTTGAAGCCCTGTTCAAATGAGTTTAGAATTCAATTTCTCAGACATTTATTTTAAATCAGAGATGACAAAAATGTCTAAAAATAATACTTAAGCGGACTGTGGAGTAAAAACAGTAGTGTATGTCCCTGAAGTACAGGTGTAAACCCATTCAGTGAAACTTTATAAAACACATACTTACATGAGATCAGGCCAGCTGTGTATGAGACACTGTTTCTCAGTTTATCTTGATAAACAGCTGCATTTTCTGATTCTGTATGGGATAATTAGTAAGACTGCTAGAGACTTTTTTCACAGCAAACAAACACAAAACTGGATAAACTGCTTGTTGATGAAGATTTTAAAAATATGATTCATGGACTCTTTCTGGGATGTACGCTCGATCCCAGTTCGGCAAGAGGTGGGTTTCAAATCCCACCTATGGTGATAAAGAAGTTATACAGAGACTTTTACTGGTTCCATCGTGAGCTTACGTGGGTATATTATGATCATAATGCTTAGTTTTGTATAGACTGATTTTCACCAGTGCAGAATCCTTTAAACAAAACAAAAAGCAAAATTATTTAGACTGTAGTCAGATCATTTATTGTGTTTTACAACCATAAACATTTAAAAGTAGAAAATGTATTAATGCACAAAAGCAAATTCACAACACAGAAATGTTGTGGTCTACTGTAAATGAATCTCATACAATGGTTGGATAAGATGGAGTTAAAACAAGCAACAACTTTCTAACCGAAAAATTAGAAGCAAGGGATTTATTGAAATAATACAATAATAGTATGTTTTTTTTTTGTTCATTATATAACCTACAGTAAAATATAATAACTAACATTAGTTGACTCATTATGTTAATTTGTGTATAAAATTTACACTACATATAAAAGTTAAATATGTAAAATAAACACTCCAAAAGTTGCCATTCTGTACACGAGACACAAGCATTGCTTATTTTAGCCTTGGCTCAAAATCCCCACCATCAGAAGCTAAACAGGTAACCGCACTCACTGCTTTTTCACATGATTGGAAAACAGACTTAGATTTAGTGTATTTTATTTAGAAGGATGACGTTCTGAGACAAATAACTCAATAAAATATGATACATAAATCATAAATAATGCAACCTCTTCAACTCCTTGAGACCACCGGTGGTTCCAAAACACACTTCGTCATATTCTTCATAACTTTCATATTTCATAAGCTACATTCAAAAGGTGGGGGTCATATGAGAGCTGTAACTGTCCTCTTTCCAGTCAAATAGATGGGTAATGTAATTTTAAACCCTTATAATAAAAGAAGCTGAACTCACAATTTTGTTTGTCTACTGAAAGTCGACCCATTTTTCCACAAATCTAGGCTATAAACTATAAACAGATGGCGTCTCTTCGGTGATCTGCTCTGTAAAAATTATTTTTATAAAATAATACAAAGAGCGTCTAAGATTTTTGGCTTTCAGCAGTAAATTGTAAGCATATAGCAATATGTGTATCATCATCAAACATAAATAAATAAATAAATTAATTAATTAAAATAAAATAAAATAAAATAAAAATTTAAATTTATTTCATGCAGTTACTGATAATTTGCTTTACGATTTGGTCATGTAAATTCAGATGGAAAAAACGAAATATACCCTGGTCAATAAGAGGTTAAGGCATAAATCACTAAATGTAGTAAAACATGAATGCACATATGAACAACTATAAAACTATATTTATGAATTTCGGCTTTAAATGTAACTCATTAACTTTGTTTTCTTTGTGGTCACGTGCGTGGTGGAAATCCATTTATGGGGAAAATGCGTCAACCAGGCGCGATGACCTCATAGAGACACGTCTCCATGGTGACGGGCGGTTATAAATACAGGAAAGCCGTCTGTTCCCTCACAAACAGTTTTTCGTCACAGGAGAGTCGTTAACCGGTTCGTCAGTGAGATCAACAAAAGGTCGGTGTAACTCTCAGATTCATGCAGCTTTACTAAGACAATTATGATATACTAAGTCCAAATTATGAGAGAATAAGTCGTTTGGATGTGTAAAATCATCCTTATGAGGCACTAAAGTCATGATTATGAGATATTAAATCACAATTATGGGAAACTTTCTCATTATTGTGACTTACTAAATGGCTATGGGCCGTTTCCAGTGGCAGAAACAGGTTACCGCAACTTTACCATTCAGACAATATTAACAGTATCTAATGTACTGAAATTAACGAGTGGTCTTTTTGGTTATAAAACTCAGTAAATGTTAGACTCGCGTTTTATTAAACTGCAGTGTTTAATGCAGAAAGATGTGTTAATGCGCTTCATAGCCTTCAGTTACGACAAGCTAACGCGTTAGCATTAAAATCTTCATATTTCACAAATAACCATTTTGGAAAAATGAATAGAACTTCCTATTAATAAGCCCTACTAGATTAAAGAGGCTTTATTAATGTTTCCCACGCAGGAGGATTAAAATTCAGTACACAGTCATTTGGGAAATTATGATAACCATTGTTTTTTAACATTTAGCATTTGACGCTGGACAGCCTCCTGCTGAATTTGGAGTGTAAACTGTTTCTCATTCACTCTTCTGATAATGAAGCACTGGATGCTGAAATAGTTAAATCCTTAAACAATACTAACAACTATAAATTTGTATTTATGTTTTTTATTTATGATTTACCAAACCAGAACACAACACCTGTATAAGGAAATAGGAGAGAAGAGAAGGAAGACGATGCAGGTACAGTGTTAATAGTCCACAGCAGCTATTTATCAAACACTTAGTAACCACACCTGTATTAACCCAGTCATTTTGTAACTTATAGTCAGCAGATCCACAGGAGATGGAGCAGGAGAGAAAGCTGCGCCCCCCACCCAGTCCCACAGCCTGCGGGTGCTGGAGCGACTGCTTCACCCTCTTCAACAGGAGGGACCCAATCCGGGAGAGCCAGAGAGAGGAGGAGCAGCTCCAACAGGTTCAGGGAGGAAGGAGAGAGATGGACCTGAAGGAGAAGACAAAAAAGCAGAAGAAAAAGGGAAAGAAGCAGAGGAAGCAGGACGAGAAGAGGAATCTGCAGAGTGCCGGAGAGAGCCATGATGAGGTGGTGACGGGAATGGAGCAGATGAAACGAGAGAATCACATCAGAAGTTTGGAAGAAAACATAAAACAGCAAGAGATGGAGATTCTGAGATTCCGGGAGAGAGAAGAAAAGCTAAAAGAAAAGCTGGAGAGAATGAAAGAGAAAATAGCCAGGAAAGAGCGGAAGACTCTCAAAATTATACAGAGAGATGAGAAGCTGAAGAGAGAGCTGCAGGCGATGAAAGAGAGGCTGGCACAGAAAGACAGACAGAGCAAGGAAGAAAGGAAGGTCACCAACCTGAAAACAGTGGAAATGACAATCACTGTAAGTATGAAAGAAGAAGTTAAGATGGACGGAGAAATAGAAAAGCAGGAAGAGAAAGAACAACAGAAAGAGAGTGTGAGGGATGAGAGCGACACTGTCCCTCAGGAAGCCGGCCCACAGCCTCAGGCCGTCACTGAGTCTAAATCAGAAGATCAGGTTTCAGAGGCTCAGACTCAGGTCCAGGCTGATGGGTCAGAGAGTAGAAAGGCAGCTGAGGAGAAGATGAAGTGGACCGGCCATGACAGCGGGGAAGCAGTGAGCATTGAGGTGGAGAACCTTCAGGTGAGTCTCTACTCACTACTCACTACTACGAATTATTCTGTTACTATTTTCTCTAAAGGCCCAATCCCATTTTACCCCTGCCACTTCGCCCTTAGCCCGATCACGTCTAGGGGTAGGGTGTCCCAATTTTTGTTGAGATATAGGGGTAGGGCCAAGTGTTAGGGCTACATGGCCCTCCAAACGGAGGTTTTTCAGAGACACGCTCCAAACAGAGTGTTGTGAGAAAAAAAGAAAAACCAGCAAGATGGCTGCAGAAGAGACCAAAGAAACCCACAAATGTGAGTTTTTTCTCTGTTAAAAAATTACAATGACCATTGTTTTAACTTAGTTTAATGTCATTTGAATGTATTATGGTCCTTCTCTTTATAACAAGCATAAAAAATCACTAGTATTATGTCTCGGTAGCTAGCTGGCTAAATTTCCCGTTCGACCTCAAATAGTCCAGCAGTACTGATGCCAGAATATAACTGCGGCTCTATTTAAGGTGGAACGGGCAAATTCGAAGTAAAAGCTGGCGAAAAAAACTGACGTCAGCTTTATATCACAGAAGAATTAAGGGTGGGCAATAATAAATAATTATCACATCCCCCTCTTAGAAAGTATAGGATGCTCTAAATTTAACGCCCATCAGTGAGGTTGCTGAACTTTACCCTCCTCTGCTATCACTGCAGACTGGCAGGGTTGCCTACAGAGCGCTACTAGTATCCTGTTAATAAAGTAATGTTCGTCTTTATTTGAGGGTCCCACTTCGTAGAGGAGATTTCACCCACTGCCCGTTGTGACTCAGTTCCAAGGGGCAAGGTGAAACCTGAAAACAAGGGGTAGGGGTAAAAATAAGAAATGGGATTGGGCCTAAGAGTCAGGGAGAGAGTAAATTTAGCCAATTCAGTGAGTTCGTCAGCTGATGAAGTCTGGATTGTTGTTTAGATTCACTCAGAGCTGTAGAACTCACACATTCCGTTCTGTTGTGTTAAATAACTCTATGGAAAGTTGGTTAGATGATATAATCTGCACCTTTCGGTAAACACAACCATGTCTTAACCTCTCAGGTGGAGCCTGCAGCACGGAGCTCGTCTGGAAGCTGGATGTTGCAGAGTGTGCTGTCCTCAGTTCGCTCCTTCGTTCAGGTACCTATTTCCTTCTGCAGTGTACACAAAAATGCCATTTTTAATATATGGGAAAATTAAGTCAAGAAACTATGAATTTTAAAAATATTTTTTTTTGTTGAAAGTATTTCAGCTAAAAATTATAACTTGCCTGCATGTTTATTCACATTGAATAAGTAGAACGTCTCTACTCTAAAACTTGATTATTGTTTGTGACAGACTCAGAAAAGCATTCAGTGTTTCAATCAGTGAATTATTATATGTATTGTTGTTAACTTTTTATCTCTACCCTGCAGCGCCTGAGATCCCATTTCTCAGCTGTGCAAGTTCAAGCTGAGAAAGAAGAGGAGCATGAGGAAGTTTCTCCATCACGTCCGTTGATTCCGCTCGGAGCGCCGGTTGGTGTCATTCATTTTTAGGACAAATGAAATAGATTAATTTAAATATATCTCTGTTTGAGCTTGTATCAAGTGTAAAGTCACATTAACAGGGACTGCATTATGGAATGATGCTAACGAATGTTTCAGGCTTATAAAACACTCTTGAAATGTATATTGTTTTCATTCGACAGACAGGGGTCCTGACTGTACACCTGAAGGCCTGCAGAGACTTCAGGAAATCTGGTAAGCTTAAATTTTATGGCAGTCTTAGTGTTTAAAGTCTAGTCTTAGTGTTTGTGTTTGTACTAATATCTAGCACAAAACTGTAATCACTTGATTTTGTCTTCATTGATCAATAATGCTGGTTCTGGTTTGGCTGTTTTCCTGCACCAGCTCTTTTGAAGAAAGGCACTTGGGCTACTGTGAGGGTCACTATTGGGAGAATGGTGAAGTACACAGAGCAGCAGCCCTATAATAACCCCACGTGCTTCAACGAGTGGAAACACTTTTCCATACAGGTCAGTATTACTTATCAATGACTTCTCTTTGGGCATGGCAGACAAATAGTTCTTTAACTCTCTGGGGTCCATGGGCATTTTCTCGATTTCATATCGTTGCCATCCAGCGAAACACAAGTATTTTAAAAAATGGCAAGTGTACGGGCCCTTTTTAAATTTTAAGATAAGTTAATATACTTGCCATTTTTGAGATACTTTTTTGAGAGATTTTTTATCTAATTGATTTTGTGGCATTTCTATTGGTCCAATCACCATGAAATTCTCACACAGTATAAAGTAGAACTGCGATGTTCAAATGATGTGGAAAAATAAAAATCAACAAAAATGGGAGATACACGTTTTTCTTTGGGCTGCGATGATCTTCATAAATTTGCCTCCAAAGGCACTTGTGTATAACATGATACTCATATGTTTTATATCAAAATGCTCTGTCTGTGTTGCTGTTTTACAAAGCCACTGCAGCAACATGTGTAAACTCTTTGCACAACAATTCACTTGTGTCTCTGATCCTGAATGAAAAATGAGTTTTAGCAATGACACACAGTGAAAGGCAGATGACGTGTATCTCAGCCTCTCTTCATAGCCTCATAACTCTGGATGTGAGTAACATATAATCTCGCAATGAGAAGGAATTGAAAGGGCGACTCTACAGATTCAGAAAATGTTTGAACTGTATTTCTGTGGTGTATCACAAAGACAGAGAAACATATTTAGAAACATCAAATTTGATGTGTTTGTGGAGTTAAAACTGAAGATGCCCTGATCATGAAATTGGTCCTCAGAGTAAACCAGATGACTATGTAGTCATGACTGAGCAGGGGCGCCAGACTGTAGCACACACTAGATTAGCATGAACAATTATTAAATCGCATAATTGCTTACTCAGAAAAAACACTTTAGACTTAAAACGTGGATATAATTGCCAGCAGGCAATTCTGTCAGTAAATTTTTATGGCGTGTTTCTGTAAAAGACTTTGATGCAAACAACAAAAAAAATCCTAAGTGTTCAACAAAAAGGCTTTTAATCTGTTTCAGTTAGTTCTTTCAGAGAAACAGGTTTGTTAAGGAGTATAAGGAGGTCAAGCTATAAAGAGTCAAGCTATAAGTATTGCTACATCCATGCTACAAGCTAACATTAAAGTCAAATCGCATTAATTGACAGTAAATGGAAGTAAAGCTACTTCTGTTCTGTAATGCTATTGTAACACCAGCTGCTGAAACTGTAGGCTACAACTGCCAAATCAACCTAACTACCACACTTGGCAAAGCTTGCTGAACTGCTTGTCCAAAATAACTGAAATCCTACTTGCTTTTCTTGTCCATTTGTGTTTGCAGATCCAGCAGGAAGAAGTTTTAAGGGTTCAGCAGTCCACTGTGATGGTGGTAGAACTGCTTATTTGTGATCCTAACTCAGCTGCCCCCAGACTCATGGGGAGAGACACCATCACGCTGCAGGAGATCCTTAAGGTGAGACACGTTCTCATTCTTATGCCTGTAGAAAGTTTTCCTTTAAGCCACTCAGTGTCACTGATTACCAGGAATGAGAAGGTAATCATTTTTTTCTCTTTTCCTTCAGAAATCTTCATTCGGCCACCAGTTCAACTTGAGGCTCAGACACCAGGTAAAGTGTGCATTTGTAATATTCTGTTATTTTATTTTCTGCTTGTCTGGAAGAGAGAAAGAGATATATGATTTGATTTTCTTATATTTTCAGAAAGTTTGCAAGTTGGACGCAGAGCTGGCGTTCACATACGGCTCCTTGGGCTACGGGTACTCTCACCAGGTTTGTGTCTAGAACAGATGTTATCAGTGCAAATGTACCAGCCATCTTATTGCCTATAATAATAGAGATGGTGATGGTGAGCATGTTGCGTTTTCTCTCCCTATAGATCAAACATCCAGGAAGAACGATGGAGAATCTGGTGGAGAAATCTCTCTTTCCCCGCTGCCCTCCTAATCAAGATCAAAGAGATCCGCAATAGTGAGATATACACCTATTCATTACGATAATTACTCAAATAATGCTCACATATTTATATGAAATGTATTGTTCCAGGTCTAAAATTTAATTTTGTAAGCCACATTCAAAGCTGTTGAAAAACACTCAATATACTGAATTCTATGTAAATTCGACAAATTATTAAAAACTGTTAATGAAATAGTCTTTTACTGTTATGTTGCTTGGCAACCATAGTTTACCGCTAACAAGCTACATACTTGGTGAAATAATTATCTCCTGTGATTGTTATTAGTAATTATTACATTGCATGTTGTTATACTGTATTTTGTCCATGTAAAATCACTGTTATCCACGGCCTTTCGTGGCTGATTGCAATGCTGAATTATTATTATTATTATTAATTATTAATTATCAGTGAAAATAATACACATTTGAAAGTTTGCATTTCTTTTTACTTTTTTCTATATTTTCCATATAGACAAACTGACAAATCTCTCTCATTCTTTCTCAGTAATGTGACAACCCCCTCCACACTGCCCCAAGTGGACATCATTCCCTCTCTGATGCAGCAAGACACACCAAGAGGCGCAGAGTGCAGGATATCTGCTGGCCTGATGGACTGCATCCAAAGGAGAGGCAGGTCAGTGTCATGCTTCATCAAGGCCTGAGCTGAGACTATGGATGAGCCACACTCAGCTTGGTCTAGACTTTGGTTATTTGTGTAGTGATGCTGCACATTAATTAAAACCACATAATAGAAACGTAAAAGTTTAGACATTCCCAATTTTTATTTCACTTTCTTGATAATTAATTTTAATATGTTTTTATAAATCTGAAGAAATCTAACACTACGATTTGAGTCAGAGATGAACAACTCTTTATGGTTGTGTTTGTGTGTATTTTTCAGGTTGTTACAGCTGCATAAAGGCTTGCAGGAGTGTACGACAGGAGAGGATAGGGTGCAGTTTCTGGAAAACCTGATTCTAAGGAAGAGTCTTGGCACCAGCTATCCCTGCAGAAAGAACGAGAGCTCTGAGGTGTAAGGTGTGTGGGTGCACATGCTTACTATATACTACATACTGATTTTACTGAACTCCAGTGCTAGTGTGGTGTGTTGTTGCGTGATGTTCTGTGTTCAAAGCAAGGTAATATTGTCTGTGACAGGTCCTGTCTAAAGAGGAGGAAATGAAGAGAAATGAGGAGGACGAGAACTATGGAACGACAGAGACAAGAACAGGAAAGGCTACATGCAAGACGAGGAAGTAGAGAGAAAAAACAGCAGAACTTGAGGTCCGTCTCCATTTCTCTCAGCACTGGCTCGTCTGTTCCTCTTTATCCTGCTCCATTCCCACCATCTCGACTCACCTGCAGCAAACAACAACAAAGTGCTGGATCTAATAAACAATACATTACAAATAAAAAAACAAATAAAAACACATCACAAAACCTGGTTAGTTTATCCTTCTCTGTCACTCCAACACCAGTCACTCAACATCTGTCACTCAGATTTGAGCTTTTAGATCTCAAAAGGAAATTATTTTGTTGCAGCAGCAAAGCACAGCACCCATAACACAGACAGTTCTAAAATAAAATACACATAGTATAAAATAGAGGACACTGAGCTGAAATGCTGAAAGCACTGAGATAAGACATAAATATAAACACTGAGTTACTCAAGTGACTTTTATTCGTAGTGGGTTAGCATAAGCTTTAATCGAAATGGGCTCCCAGCAGAACTGTTAGCCTGCTAATGTTAGCTAAGCTTCCGTTAATGTTAACAACGCTAACAACTGTACACACAAGTCTAAATTTTTATAGAAATAGAACAGAAATTCTAATCAAATCTGAGTAACTACATATGAGACAGTTATACACCTGTTTAGCGACCACGGATCAGACCTGTTCAGTCATTAGAAAGAGGTCAGTCATTTGACCAATGCAAAATAACATAGGCAATATAAGACCTGCTATGATCAGAAAATTAAGTTCTAAGTGTAAAACATGATATACTGTAATTCCTAACTGATTGGATACTGTACAGACGCCTATTAGATGCATCTCAATACTGGTGTTACTATTGCTTTGTACACTCAGTGTATGTGGAATGAGGATGGACTGAACTTAAAGGCAAGTAGGAAAAGTTAGAGGAGATATCAATGGAAAAACCAAGTGCAGAAAACAGTAATGGGTGAGAAGGTCGGCGTCTGTTCTGGTGCTGGTCAGTTTCAGGAAGCATCCCTGTAAAGACAAACTAATAAACTAAGGTACAGTAACCAAAATAGCCTGTTTAATGGATAAAAACAGGTTGGAAAAACTGCCATGTAAAATCAATTCTGAATGTTTTTGATGCATAAAACAACACAAATGTCATAAATATACCTCAATAGAAAACATAAAATATGGATATATAAGATATGAGTCCTAATTAAATATAACATTAAACATTACACACTACAGGACAAAAGTAGCTTAAAAATATTGCTGTATTGTTTATATATATATATATATATATATATATATATATATATAAATTACTAAATAGACATATAAATAAATGCAGACATATTAATTAATATAAGATTTATATATATATATTTTTTAATTTATATATATATATATATATATATATATATATATATATATATTGTTATGTTATTTATTTATTTTTAGATTTAGCAATTCTACTTCATATATTAATTTACTAAGTCATTTTTTTTTATTTTGTTTATTTTTCATTTTCGCAAATCTGGTCCTCCATAGTTACTGGCCTGATACATTCTGTTATTCAGTTATACAATCTGTTATTTATGTTCTCTGTTTCTTCTTTTGTTGTGTGTGCAAGGGGATTTGAAAGTTTTCCTTGTGTTCCAGGTTACACTGTGACCAGCAGTCTGGATCTTCAGGGTTAAAGGTTGGTGAATAAGCAGTTATACATTAACTCCAGCGTTTGTTAAAACTGTGTTAGAACCAGAGAACCTATAGAGAGGAGAATTAAAACTCTGGAACGTTAATGTTCTCCAGGTTTCCAAAATGAATGGGTTAAGAAAAAAATAACCCTTTGAATTTACTTAATTTTTTTTCGCCAAAGTCTTGCACGAAATTAAATATCTACATTCAGAGATATAATTTGAGTAACATTTACTTATTACCTATAAGCAATGTCAACTTAACTATATTTTGCAGGATTTACTTTAATCGTGTAATTTTAACTAAAATGAATCATGTTCTTTCTTCTTAAGCGAATTATGTAGATTGTTATAAATACAACTTTTTTTAGTTAAAGCAACTCAAAGTTGATGCCTTTCTGATCACATTTACTCATTGCTTGTAAGTTTTGTCAGCTTAATTATATTTTTGTAAAATTTCCTTGAAGTGTATTTTTAACTAAATTTAATCATGTTCATGCTATTTCTTTAAATTATGTAGAGGGTTAAATAACTTTCTAGTAAAACTACTGAATTCTGATGTATTTCCAAATAGTTACTCATTGTTCATTATGTACAACACATGGCATTTATTAATGTACAATTTTAAATGTTAATTTTCATAAATTGAACTTCAACTACACTTATTAATGTTCCATCTATTTAAACACATTTGAGCAAAAAAGTTTATAAATTCTTAAACATTTTCAGTATAAAATAATACATTCATTGTCTGAACACAGAACAGCATAAAACATTTTAACACCGCTGTGATATTTTTAGCAGTTCTCAACTCAAGTTACATGAGTAACTTGTCGGGACCAAGAGCTCTTTTCTCCTTGCCCAAAGCCCCGACATATGAGGTTTAAAATCTAAAACTATTCTGTGCTGGGGTTTTGTTCTAATTATTGTCTAATCACTTACAAAATATAAACAAAAATAAAAGAGTATTCAACCAAAAATAAAAGAAAGTAGAATAAAAGACTTCAGCTGCTGAGCTCTTGTGGAAGGGAGGAAAAGGCCCTCTCTTCTTTTATTGAGCTTCAGATGGCAAGATGGTTTCCGGACAACCAAATGCAAAGATTATCACAAAACATCCTTTTTTTATATCCTGTTTGGGGCGATGAAATTATCTCCTCCTCATTACCTTGTAACATACCATCTTTGTCCCTATTATATCATAATTCATTGAAGACTCACTCGTGGGCGCCCTCTGGCGTTTTGCAGTCCTGATGCAGTCCTGCTATAATGGGGGGAAATAGGAAGAGGCCAGGCTCCTCATAAACCGGCTCTGCTTGCTCATCAAAATCATTTTCTGTTTGATAAAGTAAAAGTCTTGTACCTCTCTGGCGACCCCCTGGGACCACGTCACGGCCCCTTCGGTTGATAACCTCTGATCAAATCAAACATACAGTGCATTTTTTGTAAAAATAATGTTAAAGAGAGCAGTGAACGCTGGACCTGTTTCAGCACCATGGATAGTTCATCATCACCAACTCTCTCTCTCTCTTTCTCTCCATTTCCTCTTAAAGGGAATAAAAATTAGGATGTTTTGTGCCCATCATGCTCTTCTTCCATTTGACTCTTTTTTTGTTTAGTTAAAGCTTTGTGTCTGTTTAAAGTGCCCGCCAGACTCATGTCCTGGCTAGTTTGTGTCTAGAACAGATGTTATCAGTGCAAATGTACCAGCCATATTATTGTTTTCTCTCCCTATAGATCAAACATCCAGGAAGAACGATGGAGAATCTGGTGGAGAAATCTCTCTTTCCCCGCTGCCCTCCTAATCAAGATCAAAGAGATCCGAACTAGTGAGATATACACCTATTCATTACGATAATTACTCAAATAATGCTCACATATTTATATGAAATGTATTGTTCCAGGTCTAAAATTTAATTTTGTTAGCCACATTCAAAGCTGTTGGAAAAACAGCAGTCTTTTACTGTTATGTTGCTTGGCAACCATAGTTTAATGTTAACAAACTACATTGCTTGGTGAAATAATTATTTCCTGTGATTGTTATTAGTAATTATTATATTGCATGTTGTTATACTGTATTTTGTCCCTGTATAATCACTGTCATGCACGGCCTTTCGTGGCTGATTGCAATGCTGAAATATTTGAATTATCAGTAAAAATAATAAACATCTGAAAGTTTGCATTTCTTTTTACTTTTTTCTATGTTTTTCAAACAGACAATCTGACAAATCTACAAATTCATTTGTAGTTGATCTGCTTCTCTGCATAATTTGTTACTCTATTGATCAATGATCAGGACTCTCACAGCACCAGCACAAAGCAGATCTTATCACTGTTTCATTCACAGCACTGCAGTGACACTGCCATGGCAGTACGTGGTACTAGTGTATGAGCATTATTTTTAAACACCTCAGTGTCACTGATGTACTGAGAATAGTCCACCAACCAAAAATGTCCAAACAACAGTGTCCTGTGACCAGAAAATGACCACTCATGAAGGGCTAGAGAATGACTAACACAAACTGCAGCAGCAGATGAGCAGAGAGGTCACTGAAATACAGCCTAAATCTGACATCTTCCTTGAAGCCCTGTTCAAGTGGGTTTAGAATGTAATTTTTCAGACATTTATTTTAAATCAGAGATGACAAAAATGTCTAAAAATAATACTTAAGCGGACTGTGGAGTAAAAACAGTAGTGTATGTCTCTGAAGTACAGGTGTAAACCCATTCAGTGAAACTTTATAAAACACATACTTACATGAGATCAGGCCAGCTGTGTATGAGACACTGTTTCTCAGTTTATCTTGATAAACAGCTGCATTTTCTGATTCTGTATGGGATAATTAGTAAGACTGCTAGAGACTTTTTTCACAGCAAACAAACACAAAACTGGATAAACTGCTTGTTGATGATGATTTTGAAAATATGATTCATGGACTCTTTCTGGGATGTACACTCGATCCCAGTTCGGCAAGAGGTGGGTTTCAAATCCCACCTATGGTGATAAAGAAGTTATACAGAGACTTTTACTGGTTCCATCATGAGCTTACGTGGGTATATTATGATCATAATGCTTAGTTTTGTATAGACTGATTTTCACCAGTGCAGAATCCTTTAAACAAAACAAAAAGCAAAATTATTTAGACTGTAGTCAGATCATTTATTGTGTTTTACAACCATAAACATTTAAAAGTAGAAAATGTATTAATGCACAAAAGCAAATTCACAACACAGAAATGTTGTGGTCTACTGTAAATGAATCTCATACAATGGTTGGATAAGATGGAGTTAAAACAAGCAACAACTTTCTAACCGAAAAATTAGAAGCAAGGGATTTATTGAAATAATACAATAATAGTATGTTTTTTTTTGTTCATTATATAACCTACAGTAAAATATAATAACTAACATTAGTTGACTCATTATGTTAATTTGTGTATAAAATTTACACTACATATAAAAGTTAAATATGTAAAATAAACACTCCAAAAGTTGCCATTCTGTACACGAGACACAAGCATTGCTTATTTTAGCCTTGGCTCAAAATCCCCACCATCAGAAGCTAAACAGGTAACCGCACTCACTGCTTTTTCACATGATTGGAAAACAGACTTAGATTTAATGCATTTTTTTTAGAAGGATGACGTTCTGAGACAAATAACTCAATAAAATATGATGCATAAATCATAAATAATGCAACCTCTTCAACTCCTTGAGACCACCGGTGGTTCCAAAACACACTTCGTCATATTCTTCATAACTTTCATATTTCATAAGCTACATTCAAAAGGTGGGGGTCATATGAGAGCTGTAACTGTCCTCTTTCCAGTCAAATAGATGGGTAATGTAATTTTAAACCCTTATAATAAAAGAAGCTGAACTCACAATTTTGTTTGTCTACTGAAAGTCCACCCATTTTTCCACAAATCTAGGCTATAAACTATAAACAGATGGCGTCTCTTCGGTGATCTGCTCTGTAAAAATTATTTTTATAAAATAATACAAAGAGCGTCTAAGATTTTTGGCTTTCAGCAGTAAATTGTAAGCATATAGCAATATGTGTATCATCATAAAACATAAATAAATAAATAAATAAATTAATTAATTAATTAATTAATTAAAATAAAATAAAATAAAATAAAAATTTAAATTTATTTCATGCAGTTACTGATAATTTGCTTTACGATTTGGTCATGTAAATTCAGATGGAAAAACCGAAATATACCCTGGTCAATAAGAGGTTAAGGCATAAATCACTAAATGTAGTAAAACATGAATGCACATATGAACAACTATAAAACTATATTTATGAATTTCGGCTTTAAATGTAACTCATTAACTTTGTTTTCTTTGTGGTCACGTGCGTGGTGGACATCCATTTATGGGGAAAATGCGTCAACCAGGCGCGATGACCTCATAGAGACACGTCTCCATGGTGACGGGCCGTTATAAATACAGGAAAGCAGTCAGTTCCCTCACAAACAGTTTTTCGTCACAGGAGAGTCGTTAACCGGTTCGTCAGTGAGATCAACAAAAGGTCGGTGTAACTCTCAGATTCATGCAGCTTTACTAAGACAATTATGATATGCTAAGTCCAAATTATGAGAGAATAAGTCGTTTTGCTGTGTAAAATCATCCTTATGAGGCACTAAAGTCATAATTATGAGATATTAAATCACAATTATGGGAAACTTTCTCATTATTGTGACTTACTAAATGGCTATGGGCCGTTTCCAGTGGCAGAAACAGGTTACCGCAACTTTACCATTCAGACAATATTAACAGTATCTAATGTACTGAAATTAACGAGTGGTCTTTTTGGTTATAAAACTCAGTAAATGTTAGACTCGCGTTTTATTAAACTGCAGTGTTTAATGCAGAAAGATGTGTTAATGCGCTTCATAGCCTTCAGTTACGACAAGCTAACGCGTTAGCATTAAAATCTTGATATTTCACAAATAACCATTTTGGAAAAATGAATAGAACTTCCTATTAATAAGCCCTACTAGATTAAAGAGGCTTTATTAATGTTTCCCACGCAGGAGGATTAAAATTCAGTACACAGTCATTTGGGAAATTATGATAATCATTGTTTTTTAACATTTAGCATTTGACACTGGACAGCCTCCTGCTGAATTTGGAGTGTAAACTGTTTCTCATTCACTCTTCTGATAATGAAGCACTGGATGCTGAAATAATTAAATCCTTAAACAATACTAACAACTATAAATTTGTATTTATGTTTTTTATTTATGATTTACCAAACCAGAACACAACACCTGTATAAGGAAATAGGAGAGAAGAGAAGGAAGACGATGCAGGTACAGTGTTAATAGTCCTCAGCAGCTATTTATCAAACACTTAGTAACCACACCTGTATTAACCCAGTCATTTTGTAACTTATAGTCAGCAGATCCACAGGAGATGGAGCAGGAGAGAAAGCTGCGCCCCCCACCCAGTCCCACCGCCTGCGGGTGCTGGAGCGACTGCTTCACCCTCTTCAACAGGAGGGACCCAATCCGGGAGAGCCAGAGAGAGGAGGAGCAGCTCCAACAGGTTCAGGGAGGGAGGAGAGAGATGGACCTGAAGGAGAAGACAAAAAAGCAGAAGAAAAAGGGAAAGAAGCAGAGGAAGCAGGACGAGAAGAGGAATCTGCAGAGTGCCAGAGAGAGCCATGATGAGGTGGTGACGGGAATGGAGCAGATGAAACGAGAGAATCACATCAGAAGTTTGGAAGAAAACATAAAACAGCAAGAGATGGAGATTCTGAGATTCCGGGAGAGAGAAGAAAAGCTAAAAGAAAAGCTGGAGAGAATGAAAGAGAAAATAGCCAGGAAAGAGCGGAAGACTCTCAAAATTATACAGAGAGATGAGAAGCTGAAGAGAGAGCTGCAGGCGATGAAAGAGAGGCTGGCACAGAAAGACAGACAGAGCGAGGAAGAAAGGAAGGTCACCAACCTAAAAACAGTGGAAATGACAATCACTGTAAGTATGAAAGAAGAAGTTAAGATGGACGGAGAAATAGAAAAGCAGGAAGAGAAAGAACAACAGAAAGAGAGTGTGAGGGATGAGAGCGACACTGTCCCTCAGGAAGCCGGCCCACAGCCTCAGGCCGTCACTGAGTCTAAATCAGAAGATCAGGTTTCAGAGGCTCAGACTCAGGTCCAGGCTGATGGGTCAGAGAGTAGAAAGGCAGCTGAGGAGAAGATGAAGTGGACCGGCCATGACAGCGGGGAAGCAGTGAGCATTGAGGTGGAGAACCTTCAGGTGAGTCTCTACTCACTACTCACTACTACGAATTATTCTGTTACTATTTTCTCTAAAGGCCCAATCCCATTTTACCCCTGCCACTTCGCCCTTAGCCCGATCACGTCTAGGGGTAGGGTGTCCCAATTTTTGTTGAGATATAGGGGTAGGGCCAAGTGTTAGGGCTACATGGCCCTCCAAACGGAGGTTTTTCAGAGACACGCTCCAAACAGAGTGTTGTGAGAAAAAAAGAAAAACCAGCAAGATGGCTGCAGAAGAGACCAAAGAAACCCACAAATGTGAGTTTTTTTCTCTGTTAAAAAATTACAATGACCATTGTTTTAACTTAGTTTAATGTCATTTGAATGTATTATGGTTCTTCTCTTTATAACAAGCATAAAAAATCACTAGTATTATGTCTCGGTAGCTAGCTGGCTAAATTTCCCGTTCGACCTCAAATAGTCCAGCAGTACTGATGCCAGAATATAACTGCGGCTCTATTTAAGGTGGAACGGGCAAATTCGAAGTAAAAGCTGGCGAAAAAAACTGACGTCAGCTTTATATCACAGAAGAATTAAGGGTGGGCAATAATAAATAATTATCACATCCCCCTCTTAGAAAGTATAGGATGCTCTAAATTTAACGCCCATCAGTGAGGTCACTGAACTTTACCCTCCTCTGCTATCACTGCAGACTGGCAGGGTCGCCTGCAGAGCACTACTAGTATCCTGTTAATAAAGTAATATTCGTCTTTATTTGAGGGTCCCATTTCGTAGAGGAGATTTCACCCACTGCCCGTTGTGACTCAGTTCCAAGGGGCAAGGTGAAACTTGAAAACAAGGGGTAGGGGTAAAAATAAGAAATGGGATTGGGCCTAAGAGTCAGGGAGAGAGTAAATTTAGCCAATTCGGTGAGTTCGTCAGCTGATGAAGTCTGGATTGTTGTTTAGATTCACTCAGAGCTGTAGAGCTCACACATTCCGTTCTGTTGTGTTAAATAACTCTATGGAAAGTTGGTTAGATGATATAATCTGCACCTTTCGGTAAACACAACCATGTCTTAACCTCTCAGGTGGAGCCTGCAGCACGGAGCTCGTCTGGAAGCTGGATGTTGCAGAGTGTGCTGTCCTCAGTTCGCTCCTTCGTTCAGGTACCTATTTCCTTCTGCAGTGTACACAAAAATGCCATTTTTAATATATGGGAAAATTAAGTCAAGAAACTATGAATTTTAAAAATATTTTTTTCTGTTAAAAGTATTTCAGTTAAAAATTATAACTTGCCTGCATGTTTATTCACATTGAATAAGTAGAACCTCTCTACTCTAAAACTTGATTATTGTTTGTGACAGACTCAGAAAAGCATTCAGTGTTTCAATCAGTGAATTATTATATGTATTGTTGTTAACTTTTTATCTCCACCCTGCAGCGCCTGAGATCCCATTTCTCAGCTGTGCAAGTTCAAGCTGAGAAGGAAGAGGAGCATGAGGAAGTTTCTCCATCACGTCCATTGATTCCGCTCGGAGCGCCGGTTGGTGTCATTCATTTTTAGGACAAATGAAATAGATTAATTTAAATATATCTCTGTTTGAGCTTGTATCAAGTATAAAGTCACATTAACAGGGCCTGCATTATGGAATGATGCTAACGAATGTTTCAGGCTTATAAAACACTCTTGAAATGTATATTGTTTTCATTCGACAGACAGGGGTCCTGACTGTACACCTGAAGGCCTGCAGAGACTTCAGGAAATCTGGTAAGCTTAAATTTTATGGCAGTCTTAGTGTTTAAAGTCTAGTCTTAGTGTTTGTGTTTGTACTAATATCTAGCACAAAACTGTAATCACTTGATTTTGTCTTCATTGATCAATAATGCTGGTTCTGGTTTGGCTGTTTTCCTGCACCAGCTCTTTTGAAGAAAGGCACTTGGGCTACTGTGAGGGTCACTATTGGGAGAATGGTGAAGTACACAGAGCAGCAGCCCTATAATAACCCCACGTGCTTCAACGAGTGGAAACACTTTTCCGTACAGGTCAGTATTACTTATCAATGACTTCTCTTTGGGCATGGCAGACAAATAGTTCTTTAACTCTCTGGGGTCCATGGGCATTTTCTTGATTTCATATCGTTGCCATCCAGCGAAACACAAGTATTTTAAAAAATGGCAAGTGTACGGGCCCTTTTTAAATTTTAAGATAAGTTAATATACTTGCCATTTTTGAGATACTTTTTTGAGAGATTTTTTATCTAATTGATTTTGTGGCATTTCTATTGGTCCAATCACCGTGAAATTCTCACACAGTTTAAAGTAGAACTGCGATGTTCAAATGATGTGGAAAAATAAAAATCAACAAAAATGGGAGATACACGTTTTTCTTTGGGCTGCGATGATCTTCATAAATTTGCCTCCAAAGGCACTTGTGTATAACATGATACTCATATGTTTTATATCAAAATGCTCTGTCTGTGTTGCTGTTTTACAAAGCCACTGCAGCAACATGTGTAAACTCTTTGCACAACAATTCACTTGTGTCTCTGATCCTGAATGAAAAATGAGTTTTAGCAATGACACACAGTGAAAGGCAGATGACGTGTATCTCAGCCTCTCTTCATAGCCTCATAACTCTGGATGTGAGTAACATATAATCTTGCAATGAGAAGGAATTGAAAGGGCGACTCTACAGGTTCAGAAAATGTTTGAACTGTATTTCTGTGGTGTATCACAAAGACAGAGAAACATATTTAGAAACATCAAATTTGATGTGTTTGTGGAGTTAAAACTGAAGATGCCCTGATCATGAGATTGGTCCTCAGAGTAAACCAGATGACTATGTAGTCATGACTGAGCAGGGGCGCCAGACTGTAGCACACACTAGATTAGCATGAACAGTTATTAAATCGCATAATTGCTTACTCAGAAAAAACACTTTAGACTTAAAACGTGGATATAATTGCCAGCAGGCAATTCTGTCAGTAATTTTTTATGGCGTGTTTCTGTAAAAGACTTTGATGCAAACAACAAAAAAAATCATAAGTGTTCAACAAAAAGGCTTTTAATCTGTTTCAGTTAGTTCTTTCAGAGAAACAGGTTTGTTAAGGAGTATAAGGAGGTCAAGCTATAAAGAGTCAAGCTATAAGTATTGCTACATCCATGCTACAAGCTAACATTAAAGTCAAATCGCGTTAATTGACAGTAAATGAAAGTAAAGCTACTTCTGTTCTGTAACGCTATTATAACACCAGCTGCTGAAACTGTAGGCTACAACTGCCAAATCAACCTAACTACCACACTTGGCAAAGCTTGCTGAACTGCTTGTCCAAAATAACTGAAATCCTACTTGCTTTTCTTGTCCATTTGTGTTTGCAGATCCAGCAGGAAGAAGTTTTAGGGGTTCAGCAGTCCACTGTGATGGTGGTAGAACTGCTTATTTGTGATCCTGACTCAGCTGCCCCCAGACTCATGGGGAGAGACACCATCACGCTGCAGGAGATCCTTAAGGTGAGACACGTTCTCATTCTTATGCCTGTAGAAAGTTTTCCTTTAAGCCACTCAGTGTCACTGATTACCAGGAAAGAGAAGGTAATCATTTTTTTCTCTTTTCCTACAGAAATCTTCATTTAGCCACCAGTTCAACTTGAGGCTCAGACACCAGGTAAAGTGTGCATTTGTAATATTCTGTTATTTTATTTTCTGCTTGTCTGGAAGAGAGAAAGAGATATATGATTTGATTTTCTTATATTTTCAGAAAGTTTGCAAGTTGGACGCAGAGCTGGCGTTCACGTACGGCTCCTTGGGCTACGGGTACTCTCACCAGGTTTGTGTCTAGAACAGATGTTATCAGTGCAAATGTACCAGCCATCTTATTGCCTATAATAATAGAGATGGTGATGGTGAGCATGTTGCGTTTTCTCTCCCTATAGATCAAACATCCAGGAAGAACGATGGAGAATCTGGTGGAGAAATCTCTCTTTCCCCGCTGCCCTCCTAATCAAGATCAAAGAGATCCGCAATAGTGAGATATACACCTATTCATTACAATAATTACTCAAATAATGCTCACATATTTATATGAAATGTATTGTTCCAGGTCTAAAATTTAATTTTGTAAGCCACATTCAAAGCTGTTGAAAAACACTCAATATACTGAATTCTATGTAAATTCGACAAATTATTAAAAACTGTTAATGAAATAGTCTTTTACTGTTATGTTGCTTGGCAACCATAGTTTACCGCTAACAAGCTACATACTTGGTGAAATAATTATCTCCTGTGATTGTTATTAGTAATTATTACATTGCATGTTGTTATACTGTATTTTGTCCATGTAAAATCACTGTTATGCACGGCCTTTCGTGGCTGATTGCAATGCTGAATTATTATTATTATTAATTATTAATTATCAGTGAAAATAATACACATTTGAAAGTTTGCATTTCTTTTTACTTTTTTCTATATTTTCCATATAGACAAACTGACAAATCTCTCTCATTCTTTCTCAGTAATGTGACAACCCCCTCCACACTGCCCCAAGTGGACATCATTCCCTCTCTGATGCAGCAAGACACACCAAGAGGCGCAGAGTGCAGGATATCTGCTGGCCTGATGGACTGCATCCAAAGGAGAGGCAGGTCAGTGTCATGCTTCATCAAGGCCTGAGCTGAGACTATGGATGAGCCACACTCAGCTTGGTCTAGACTTTGGTTATTTGTGTAGTGATGCTGCACATTAATTAAAACCACATAATAGAAACGTAAAAGTTTAGACATTCCCAATTTTTATTTCACTTTCTTGATAATTAATTTTAATATGTTTTTATAAATCTGAAGAAATCTAACACTACGATTTGAGTCAGAGATGAACAACTCTTTATGGTTGTGTTTGTGTGTATTTTTCAGGTTGTTGCAGCTGCATAAAGGCTTGCAGGAGTGTACGACAGGAGAGGATAGGGTGCAGTTTCTGGAAAACCTGATTCTAAGGAAGAGTCTTGGCACCAGCTATCCCTGCAGAAAGAACGAGAGCTCTGAGGTGTAAGGTGTGTGGGTGCACATGCTTACTATATACTACATACTGATTTTACTGAACTCCAGTGCTAGTGTGGTGTGTTGTTGTGTGATGTTCTGTGTTCAAAGCAAGGTAATATTGTCTGTGACAGGTCCTGTCTAAAGAGGAGGAAATGAAGAGAAATGAGGAGGACGAGAACTATGGAACGTCAGAGACAAGAACAGGAAATGCTACATGCAAGACGAGGAAGTAGAGAGAAAAAACAGCAGAACTTGAGGTCCGTCTCCATTTCTCTCAGCACTGGCTCGTCTGTTCCTCTTTATCCTGCTCCATTCCCACCATCTCGACTCGCCTGCAGCAAACAACAACAAAGTGCTGGATCTAATAAACAGTACATTACAAATAAAAAAGCAAATAAAAACACATCACAAAACCTGGTTAGTTTATCCTTCTCTGTCACTCCAACACCAGTCACTCAACATCTGTCACTCAGATTTGAGCTTTTAGATCTCAAAAGGAAATTATTTTGTTGCAGCAGCAAAGCACAGCACCCATAACACGGACAGTTCTAAAATAAAATACACATAGTATAAAATAGAGGACACTGAGCTGAAATGCTGAAAGCACTGAGATAAGACATAAATATAAACACTGAGTTACTCAAGTGACTTTTATTCGTAGTGGGTTAGCATAAGCTTTAATCGAAATGGGCTCCCAGCAGAACTGTTAGCCTGCTAATGTTAGCTAAGCTTGCGTTAATGTTAACAACGCTAACAACTGTACACACAAGTCTAAATTTTTATAGAAATAGAACAGAAATTCAAAACCAACTCAAGTTTTAAGCCTTTTATATATTTTAGAATTTCTCCTATTATTTTTCTGAGAGCAAACGTTCATCTAAACGAGGTGACTTGCTAGTCTACCATTGCAGATAGCTGAAGAGTTCAACATTAACAAATTATATGATTAGCTTCGAGTAAACATCAGAATGAAAAGCTATTGGTACGACAAACAAACCAAACATTTCCAAGCTCCCACTTGTTTTGGAGCTTTGCAAAGTTTCCAGAAGCTGCTGTAAGCGTGCTTCCTGCCTCTGCAGTGTAGCGTTGGTGATAGCTGGGACCTCAGTATGGGTGGAATCTGCCTCAGTACAGGTGGAATTTGCTTCAATATGGGTGGAACCTGCTCTTATGATTTCAGCTGACACATGTTGTCGAGCCCCAGTCATACCTGGGCTGATTCTGATGCCCCAGTGCCGACTCTTAGCCGAGTCCACTTAACTGTTTGCTCGGTTATTGGCCTGCTAGGATGTTATCAAGCTAACGGTCAGCCTACTGTTACAGGAATGCACAACTCCGATCCTGGATGGTTGGTGTCCCGCACTGTTTGATAGTTTCCCCTCCTCAAACACACCCACCAAACCTGGCAATTAACAAATGAATGCAGTGACGTGTGTTAGAGCAGGTAAATCAACAAACTCTGCTGGACACCGGCCCTCGAAGACCGGAGTTGTGCTCCCTTGTACTATTATGAAGGCTGAATATACTTAGTCCAATTTCAGAGAATAAAAAATATATAAGAGAATCTGTTAATGGATGTTTTTGTTTGTTTCTGCTTTTGCCTCAAAACCCCTATTTCTGTGTGTGGTTTTGTACACTGAGTTTGATTTACCCCGTTATGTAGCCCTGTGTTTATAGTTAATTGCCGATTTGATAAAATGAACTGCTTTCAAACAGGCCAAGGCAGGTACTTAAGCGCATGTTAAATGTTACATCAACTTAAAATTGTCAGTTCAGGCAGCGTGTCGCTATGAGGCGTCATGAACTCACTGAAGGTTGTTGAGTCAGTTAAATCATCATGTTGTTGGACAAACTGTATTTTTAAAAATTGCCTAACATTCAGCAAATTGGATTTTTCACAGTGCAGGTGGAATTATATCTGATCTCCTCAGAAATATCTCTTGAAAAATTAATAACTTGTAATTTAGGCAGTTTTGATTGGAAATTGAATGAAGTTTGGTCTCTGACAGTTCTGTATGCCTGTTATATAGATCCATGTTAGGTGTGTGTGTGTGTGTGTGTGTGTGTGTGTGTGTGAGTGTGTGTGTGTTAATGTAGGCTCTTCAGGCCGCAGCATTGTTTAACATGTTTAGTATTTTAACATGATAGTTCTCTGTGTGAACAGGTTTCCAGAAACAGCAGATGACCATTTACAAAATTAGCTGTATTTTAGGCTGATTAACCAGCTGTACATCTGCCGTCTGTAAGGCTGTGAAAGGACAAGCTGCTGAATGTCTGATAGTTTCTGAAGTAGCTGCTAAATAGTTCTAATTAACAGAAACTGATACCTTAGAATATTCCAGTGACTAACGTTAGCGATGTGACACAAACTTTAGTGTAAATGCCACAAGTTTTCCCGTTGGCCTGGCCTGACGACTGGCCTCTCTGGCCTCTCTGCCTTCCTTTAAGGTGGAATGGAAACTTTAATTAAGAAGCTAAGTTCAGCCAAAGACTCTACAGCAACGAACCAAGCAGTTATTTCGAGCCATACAAGACCAGACTCCTATCTCTCTGAATGGGGAGAGGCCGACATACTAAAATTACACCTTGCATGCACACTCCTCCTCCCCTGCTCTGCTGTTGTTGTCATGCTGTCATGAGACTCAGTGGTGCTGAGGCTGCAGTGATTGAGTGAATGAGCACAGAGACAGAGGTCACTGGCAGAGTCACAGAGGCAAAGATTATCCAGGTAGCTTATACAGTAGCTATACAGTACAGTAGCTTATAGTGGTGCATTATATGTTTTCTCCAGTAATAATTTTGTGCACTTTGTTTATTTTACACAAAGACAGAGAAACACAATGAAAGAGAGAAATAAATGTTTATTATTTTTTGTTCCTGAACAAAAACCACAGACTGAAGGAAAGAAAAATGTAAGTTTTGAAAAATTCATCGTTCTCCAGTAATTTTGTGCAGAATTCCTGTTGCAGATTAAGTTCATTACAGTAATGAAAAATATTTTTTTACTCGCCTAAAAACTTTGCTGTTCTGGGTTTAAACATGCACATGATAATTAACAGCGGAACGCAAAAATCACTTAGTTGTCATGAAAATGTGTTCAGATTTAGCATATTGATGATAGATTCACCTCATAAATCATGACACACTCATAAATAATGACACCCTACATGAAAATACATAAACTGCTTTTATAAGTGAAAAGTGTCAGTATCGATATCGGCGATACTGGCACTGTATTTACTTGGTATCGGATCAATACCAAATTTTGCAGTATCGCACAGCACTGCTGCTAGAACGTGTCTACACAGAGTGTTGGCACCGGTGTGCGAATCTCTGTTAAAAACCAGTGGTTTCAAATTTTTGGATGCATCCAGTTTGTGGTGGCATCCAGTTTGTGGTTTGTCCCTGTAGAGAATATGTAAACTTACTGTCTCTTAGAAAATCAACAAAACATGTAGTTTGACCAGGGGTGTTCAAACTTTTGTTCAAACTGTACATACAAGTATTGACAGGACTATGTGTTTGTGTAGTAAGAGAATAATCTGACATAGACCTCATGAGGCTTTGACTCGATTATGATTCTTTAGGAAATGATTCAGTGCAGATGAAATTTTGAATTTCACTAAAACTTGATTATTTTCATGATTCCAAGTTGTTTTCAAAAATTCACTGAATACATAAATGTGATAGTTGGAAGTGCACCTAATGTCCAAAAGTATGTAGACACCAAAGACTGTAGATACCAGCTCATCCAAATTTCCTTCCAAATTAAGGAGCTTGCCCCCCACAGCCCCCATTTAGATTTTAATTTTAAACTCCATTAATTTTAGTTAAACAGTGCTTTACTGGCTTTTTTTCATATTTTCAAAATATGATAAGTACAACGATGTAGAGCAGTTAATCAAACTGTGCGTCTTGCTGGCAATCCAGTCTGAAAATTTGGTGATGCCCAATTAAACACGTATAAATCTGCAGCCAGAGATGTTACATCATGTGTATGTTCATGCTCATCAGAAACGTATCAACATGTAGAATGACAGTTTTCTGTGTGCTACCGTGTTTTCTGTCACTGTAGAAAAGATGAAAGATGCTTGAGTCTTCTTTTATTGTTGGATTGCTTATTCAGGGCAAATTGCATTAGTTAATGGTTATAACAAATTGCTGAGTAACATAAAACATGACTAATGTATTATATATGTTCATTTACTTGTCCAGAAATATAATTGGTGAGATAAACTGCATAAAAATGTATATATTTTTGTTTTGTTCTTTATATAACAAATACATGCAACAACAGAATTCAGAAATCACTTCATTAAACGAGAACAGCAGACTAAACAGCATAAATAGCCATGTTTTTTTCTTCCTTAATGGGTTTATATTTACTGAACTACTGAATTTGCTCTGATGAGAAGTTGCTGCTGTGAGACCCAAGTCGCTTGCAGTTGCTTTAACTTCTCTGCCCTCCCCTGAATATTTATTGTAATGTCCTTGCTTTGATTCATGTCTATTGATACTAACACACTCGAAAAATGAACCCAAGGGGTGATTAACATCTGTCCATAGGCCACATTTGACCCTAGGGCTGGACTTTGGACACCCCTGCGTTACTGTAAATTAAAATGATATAAAAAGTGATGCCTTGTTTTTTTCTGTACATAACTATATTTCATTTCCACATACAATATAATTATTACCAAAAACAGACTGAAAGACAAAACTGTGATTCCATTATAGTCATTCATAAGGAACCTATGTATTTGAATCAAGTAAATTAAATGCATCACTTTTATACTGTGCACATTCGCCCATGTCCTCAGCGAATGAACCTATCACAGCAAGATATGCTAATTATTAATGCAGCATCTTTATACTTTCATAACTGTTAACTACCCTGATGGCATATTTTCACCTGATGATGACCGACTGTCTCATGTTCCCTAATTGGGGTGGCCAGAAGGGCAGTCAGACTTCAGTTCAGGATGACACTGGTCACCCCTGGCTACCACTTGGCTACACCTCTGCTACCCAACTACACAAATATTTATGTATACAAATATACTGTAGCTAGTAAAGCATAAAATATACATAATATCCTGAGATGTGGGTCAAAATTGAAAACTCTTCTGTTTGTTCTGGCTCTGCTCGTCAGCTTTATGGCTGGTTTGTAGCGCCCTCTGCTGGTATGTAATTGCAATAACTGGTATGACGTAAGTCCACAGAAGCAGTGTCAAAGCTGCAGAGATTTCAACATTTACTTGGTAAATAATATAATATAATATAATATAATATAATATAATATAATATAATATAATATAATATAATATAACAATGACAGTATGCGTGGTTGAAGAACAATCTTCTGACTTTGCGGTGATAGTGGTGGACTTGGCTAACTTGGGCTGAGCCTCAAATAGCTCCCTATTCCCTACATAGTGCTCTACGTAGGGCTTAAAATAATGGCTCCTGGACCCGAACAGTGTACTATATGTCTAGCAAATACCCATTTGAGATTTGACCACGTGTGCACTGGACATACAACACATTTCATAACTCACCTAGTGCACTACATAGGGAGTAGGGAGCCATTTGAGATTCAGCCTTGGTTTTGCTTAAGAAGACTTTTGTTACACAGTACAAATATGTCAATACGATGACCTGGTCTACAGGAATTGATGCGGTTTATGACCAAATTTGAGTTCAAATATGTTAAAGACAGGCATGCAGTAGGAGTTAAGCGTCATTTTGGAGGATTTTGTCATCCCATAATTCCAGTTTCCTACGGGGGAAATGCACAGCTCTTTATAGACCTCTGTCTATATTTATTTATAACGTTTCTCCATTGACAACTTAGACTCATGTATATCTTATATATTTATGTATTTGTTTCTCTGTTGTTATTTACTATTGGAGTTTCAATTAACAAGTAGAAATACGTCATTTTTACAGTGTGATGTCCTGATATCTTTGAAAACGTGGATCAGGACTGGAGCTGAACTCTGAGGAATCTCCATGTCCAGCAGTTGAAAGACTCAGCCCTTGGGTCGCCCTTGTTTGTGGGCCAGTGCTCGATTCCTCAGCATCATCTGCCTCAGCGCTCTCAGCCGCCTCCCTCCTCACGGAGTGAAGGTGACAGAAACACTGGAAAGCTCTGGCTGGTCAGACCCACAGACCGCCTCACGGACACTGTGGATTCGTTTTTAAGGTAAACAGAGATGATTTCAATGACTAAAAAAGGGATATTGATGCTGTTCGTCCTCGTACAGGACAGATGCCCCGTTTACTGATACGCTCGTTCACGCTGCTGCGCGTTCCCGCGTCCTTCCCAGCACTGCGCTAGTGTAAGTCAGCAAAGCTGTTCATATCCCTGTCCTAAAACGAACAAACTGACCACAGGGTCGACGTACATGGCAGTGAAATATTCAAGAGAGTCTTTTTCTCGTCCCCTCTGAAGACGCCGAAGGATACTGAGGAAAAATCCCTCACTTTTCCCTCAGAAAATACTTGTTAGCCTGCGTGCTGCAGCGCAGCTAGTCTAAAAACAGCACGCCTGTCCTGCAGTTTATAACGTTTATGAAGTCAAAACATACGATGACATTTTCTAATTTTCTCTATTTTCTTCATATAGGCGTTTATCGGCCTGTATTGGTGCTGCTAGACCAGTAGGGTGTGTAAGTTGCTCACTCTGTGCTGAGGTGATCCGCCATGACTCTGCAGTCTGCAGTAACCACTGGCATCTTTGTAGGTAAGTTAGGGTGACATTTACTCACAGTCTTCCTTTGCATTCCTTTAAAATCTGTTTAATATAGTAAATGAAATGCTAAGAAAAAAAAACAGAAAGCAGTGATTAATAAAGTCTGTTTGACCTGTTTTACATTGAAAACAATACAAAAACACAATACTGTATGTTTTAGCTTTTACATTACCAAGAAGGGGCGTCATTCACCAACATCTTCCTGAGTTTCTTCTTAAATTTGTCTTTGAGGAAGGTGCTAAGATAGAGTTTACGTCAGATTCAGGATGTGTTTTTGAAGCACAGAACTGTTCACACCTTTCAGTGTGTGTAGATTCTGTTCTCACCTAAGAACAAATCCCAAATATGAAAACATGATGAATGTCAGAATCTTTGTAAAAACTTCGTAACTGGATTTTTAGAAGAAATGTCTTTTAAAGAATGGTTGGTGAACGTTTGGAGGCCAATAGACGTCAATAAATTAAAACATTACATATCTTGTTTTTATAGTGGTTTTGTCCAAATGCCACTTAGAGGACATTTACATATATTAGTCTTAAATAATCAGTCAGCAGCCTCTTTAATTCTAAGGAATAAAGAGAGGTTGGAGAATAGTTACATAAAATAAAATTTTGACTATTTATGGTACATAAAACTACACAAAGGTCATAAAAAAATAAAATACAAAAAAAATGTATATACTTTAATAAGGACTACCAGCCTTTGCTGCAGTAAGAGCCTCTACTCATCTGAAAAGCACTTACACTACATGTAGCTGATAACTACTGTACATTATTGGGTAAAACTAATATGTGTGTTGTGTAAAAAACAGGAATTAAAGTGTGGGTCCACATACAGATGCTTGCATTTGAGGAGTTAATAAACCATTCTTTGTTGTTTTGTATAGGTTATAGCAACCATTTTGTTTTGCTTACTAAGTCTGCCCAATGCTCAATGTTATTTCCATGTTTAGTGTTTTCATCATGTATGATTGGACTGACTGCTGCATCATCAAGCTACCAGAAACCCAGCTTCCTAGATATTAACTCCTGGTGGTGGAACACTCCTAGAGGCCCTCAGATATTCTCCTGCCTCACTTACATGGAGAAGAATGTGCGGGTGGACTGCGAATTCCCTGTGACCGACAAGATCCCCGGGCCATTCTGCGAGTTCAAACAGGATGGACGCCTCATGGGCACCACCTATCCCAACAATCCAGTCCACCTCATCCCGCCCATAGAGACCCGCCGGAGGGCTAATGTCACGCTGGTGCCTCCAAACATCTGCCGCCTTACCTGGATGCCTATGTCAGAGGACCGGGCGTACACCTACACCTGCAGAGTGTATCAGGGGAGCACCTGGAAGGAGAATAGTATGGCCTTCAACCAGAGTGAGTACATGGTTCAGTCTTATGTAAAGGTTTGGACACACCTGGTCAAATGAGGTTTTGTTTTTTTCCTAAGTAAAAATAAGTACACATCGTCTACAGAGAACCCACTACTGCACAATTTGATGCAAAATTACTTTTTATTTGCTGATTTAAAATTAATGAAATGTGCTATTTGCAAAAGTTATCACGCATTTTTTCCCCAATATGATAAACCCAAATAAACAGAAATCGTGCACCCAATTTGTGGAAAAATGTCAGGTTTGAAGGCCACCGGCACACCTGGCGCATCACATAGCAGAGCACTGCTACAGAATACCGGCAGGGAGAGCTGTTAAAAGCTAGGTTCAAGTTCATTTTTACACTCTACTCATATAAATTGAATGTAATAAAGTCATTACTTATCACACTTTGTTTCACTTTACTACCTTTTACAAACTGGCTGTTCTCGAGCTAAAAGATACAAGCTGAAAAAGGCTAGGCTGGTAACGTTAGCTGAGGTAGACCATCAATACCTGTCTGTTTACCAAAAAGACCGTCTGTCTTTGTTTGTGTAAATGTCAAGCCAAATTTCAAGCCTTGGCTTTAATTTAATGTGGTAATGGCAAAATGCTGCATGGTGAACAGTGGTTGGAGTCACCAAGTGCTAGGCCACGTCAATGCAGAGTGTCGGCGCCAGTGTGCATACCTGCGTTATAAACAGTTTAAAATTTATGAATGCTGTGCAGTGCATCCAGTGTGTGGTGCCCTTGATGTGTAAACTTACTTTCTCTTAGAAAACTCAGTCTTAACAGGCCCATATCCTGCATCATATATTTTCCTCCTGGGGACCAGTTCTACTATTTGCTTGGTTATATGTTTATAATTCATTTTTACATGACCACATTCAAAAAATCTTTTTTTATCCCCAGTTGTTGCCTTCGAGGCTGAAATATGTAAATGAGCTCTGTTTTGATTGGCTGCCCTTTATTATGCTCCATTTAAAAAGCAGTCCAGGCTGAATCATTCTTTATAACACAAGTTCCCAGCCCTTTTCTTTCTTTTCTGCTAATGAATCACGTGCGTCATGTGCATCATCAGCACACAGACTAACGAGCAGGACGAGCTTTCGCTACGAAGATAATTAACTCTGAACAGCTCTCAGCTGCATTATTAGATTTGAGATGTGTTGCTTGTCCACCGTTTATGGGCTTTAACCTCTGTTCAGCGCTGTTGCCATGGTAAAGCTGAATGATGGTTCACGCGCAGTGGAAAAAAGCACATGAATTCCGATCTGAGCGTCACATTAACGTCGCATGGCCACGCATTGGATACATATCCGATGTAGGACCACATATAAAAGTGGCTCAGGTCGGATTTGACATGATCAGATTTGCATGTCCACACAGCTTTGAAAACATCAGATCTGAGTCACATTAGGGCAAAAGATCGGATTTGTGCCGCTTCAACCTGGTAATGTGAATGTAGCCTAAATCCCGGCGATGCCACAGCCAACAAAAAGTTGCATTCCAACAAAAAGTTGGATTCAGCCACAAAGATCATTAGTGAGGACAGGTACTGATGTATGTTGGATGGTTAGTTTTGGTTTGGAAATGCCACTCTCAACTAATCCCAAGGGTACTGGATTATGCTCCATCACTAGGCTTGTCCACTGCTCCACAGTCCGATTCTGGGGAGTTTTATACCCCTATAGCCACACTTGGCAATGGATACGGTGGCCTAAAGCTCATGTCTGGCTGCTCCAGAGCATCCCATTCTACTGGCAAAGCTTATGATTGTAAAGCTGTGTGCTTGCAGTTGAACGCTTGTGTCAGCAAAGTCGCAGGATGAACTAATTTGAAGGGGTGTCTGGATACTTTTAGAAATGAAGTTTGTTTACACAGTAGTGGAATGTAGACCATGACACTTTTAATTTGGCCAAAAATGAGTGCATTCATCAATACTTAGAACTTGAACTGTAGAAATTTATATATAAAATGTTATTTATTTTGTTTGTGACTGATTGTTTTTGCTCCTCTCTCTTTGTCTGCCTGACTCTTCTCTCTTAGGAAATTTGCTGGTGTGCTCTGCTTTGAGTGTAGTAGCTCATGTAGCACTGCTGATCTTCATGGTTATGGTGTCGCTTCCCGTCTCTCTGGGGCTTCTGTCAGCATGAACCACAGTGGCGGTCCGTGTTTGGCAGACTGTCCCTCCAGCATCGCCATTTCTTATGTTTGTTCACATGATCCCTTTTGCAAACTCATCACATGATGATAATGATGTTCACGTTCAAAATAATTGGCTGTTTCGAAGGTACAGTTTTAAAATGTTTCCAGTGTGACACAAAACTGTTATTTTAGGCAGTCAATTACATGCTTTGAAGGTTGTTTTGATCTGTAGGTCTCTTTACACACCCAGGTACAAGCGTTCACCAGTTGTGCACAACACTAGCATATGCGCGTAACATCTACTAAGACGAAGCACATTGTCGTATAAATAGCTGCTGCCCTCCCTTTAGATATAGAATATTTTTTAACCTAATTTCTGTCTGCCACATCTGCAGCAAATGGTCAATTAGACTGGACAACAAATTTGACACATTTTACCGGTACTTCAAAAACAGCAACAGGAAACACACTTATAAACAGTCTCAGCAATCTGGTCAGGGTTGCCAGATTGGGCTGTATCCCTGTGAATAACATTTTGTTTTACTAGCTGTGAGAATAATTGTTTATCAATGATGCTTTTTCTCTTACCTTGTAGTTTTCAAGTTTAATTAATTTATTAATTATTTAATTATATTAGCAATAATAACAGTAATAACAAGCAACTGCCCGTTGGCTTTTCCTGTAAGTGTGTTTTGATCCAAGAGTACTTATTTTATAAGTACAAGGAACTTACTCTCCATGGTAATCAACTTTGTGCTACTGTCAGCACTAAATCTTGGCTTTGTTTTACATTTCTGAAAACACCAACATCCAGTACCTTTGTCCAAAGAATTATGAGTAAATATTATAATTTTATACTGTTTTTGTGTCAGATGAGACTTTTCGTTTCAGATTCTAAAGAAAATATCCAACCAATTCAGCAGTTCAGTCGTCTCCATGCAGTCATGCTTTTGTTACCTTTTGATACATTACTCTTTGTAGAAATATGAAATCAGTTTAGGGGTGGCCTGTTAATCTCAGTAGTAGGTTGTATTGATCCTTGCCATTCGTTCACAGAAAAATTCATTATAACGCTTTATAATACTACTTGTAATTAACATTAAGATGCTAATGGCTTTTCAGCTAATCAGTTGCTCTGTATACAGTCATTTTGACTTCATACCTACACTATATGGACAAAAGTATTGGGACACCTACACATTACACCCACAGGAGCTTTTATGACATCCCATTCTAAATCCATAGGCAGTAAAATGGAGTTGACCCCCGTTTGCAGCTATAACAGCTCCCCCTCTTCTGGGAAGCTTTCTAAAATATTTTGGAGTTTGTTGGAATTTTTGCCTATTTATCCAGAAAAGCATTTGTGAGGTCTGACACTGATGTTGGATGAGAGGGCCTGACTCACAGTCTCTGTTCTAGTTCATCCCAAAGGTGTTTGATGGGGTTGAGGTCAGGGTTCTGTGCAGGCCAGTCAAGTTCTTTCACACCAAACTCATCCAGCCAGGCCTTCATGGACCTTGCTTTGTGCACTGGGGCTCAGTCATGCTGGAACAGGGAAGGTTCTGCCCCAAACTGTTCCCACAAAATTGGAAGCAGACAATTGTCCAAAATGTCTTGGTCTGCTGAAGCATTAAGATTTCCCTTTACCAGAACTAAGGGTTCTAGGCCAACCCCTGAAAAACAACACCATAGCATTATCCCTCCTCTACCAAACTTTACTGTTGGCACAGTGCAGTCAGGGAGGTAATATTCTCCTGGCATTCGTCAAACCCAGACTCGTCCGTCAGACTGCCAGATAGTAAAGTATGACTCATCACTCTACAGAATGTGTTTCCCCTGCTTCAGAGTCCAGTGGTGGCATGCTTCACACCACATTTTGATCTCAGGCTTGTCTGTAGCTGCTCGGACATGGAAACTCATGCCTTGAAGCTCCTAATGTGATTCTACAGAGTATAGGAACTGTGCACATCAGCACTCCCCAGCCCCACTCTGTGAGTTTGCATGGTTTACCGCTTCATGGCTAAGCTGTTGTTCCTCATAGGTGCTTCCATTTTACAGTAATAGCACTTACAGTTGACAGATGCATATCTAGCAGGACAAAACTTTTACAGACTGACTTGTGGCAGAGGTGGCATCCTATGACAGTGCCATGTTTGAAGTCACAGAGCTCATCAGAAGAACGACCCATTCCACTGCCACTGTTTGTGTATCGAGACTGCAAGACTATGTGCTTAATTTATTTACCTTTTAGCAGTGGGTGTGGCTCAAACACCTGAAATTAGGAGGTCTGTCCCAATACTTTTGTCTATATAGTGTCTGTGAAGGACACCATCACAGCACTGCTATGGTATATAGTATATAACAGTATTGCAACACTAATGGAAAGGCAGGCCACGTATCAAAGTCTTGGACTTGTGTGGTCTATCAAATTTAAACTAAAATGGTCGAGGGCAGTTTAGTTCAGCAACAGAATCGTACAGTAGAGAGTGTGACTAGAATAAGACCTGTGAGTCAAACATCTGTCATCGAGAAAAGTAGCCAATTATAAATATAAGTTGCACAAACCAATAAGAATTTGCATGTTTTTAATGCACTTGTAGGTGCTTTTGTCTTCCACAGTACTTCCCTGTACATTGTGCTGCTTTTTCAAATGTATTTTTGCACATGCTTTTGCACTAAGCCATCAAAGCCATTTTACCCACAAAAATGAGGAAATGTTAGCTGAGAAGTCTGAAGGAAATATGCTTATCATTGCTGTCAGAACAAAACCTCATGTCTCCATTTTTTCATTTCTTGTTATTATGTACTTTTTTACGGAATTTGAAAATGCCAGCTGCCCTTTACAGTGTGCTAAACGTTCATGATGAATGGACCAATAGAAATGCATAATTACTTGGAAAAAATGTAGTTGCATTAACTTCCATTCAAAGTTCTGAATGTTTTTTCCTTCTGTTAAGTTACCGTTTTGGAGTTATGAAGTTTTGTTTCTGACAGCAGCGTTTTGTAAGAGCACCACAAGGAAGGTACAACATCTCCACACACTGGTAAATGTAGTGTGTGATGTGGTGTGTTAAGTTGTAACGCCTTCTCTAGGCTGCTGCACAAACCTTCAGCGTCTAATGAGAAGGAAGAGAACCAGAGCTGTTAATGATGTGCTGCTTCCCATACAAAGCAGTTTTGGTTTTAGCTGAATTGTATCCGTCAACTATTTCGTTGTACATTTTGCACTAAAAGGAATGTAGGCCTATATCCATACCAGTATAGCCTGTTTGTGCACTCGCTGTGTGTTGCATTCCAATGTCTTCATTGCATACTCAAGGATCTATGTATTGAAACACAGAGAGAAATAAAGGAATGCAGACTGCAGGCTGTTCATCTTTGCTTCTTATACCATTTCATTTTGCTGTAAATACATCCAGAAAAACAGGGAGCCAGAATGCTGTAGCATCTTCAACGGACAGGAAATCAGATACCTCCACACATGCATATTCTTTAATGTTTCAACATTAAATTGCATGTTCTTTTTAATTCCAAATACTTTGGCAAAAGATCAGATGCATAACTGTCTTTTAAATTCTATTCAGCAATTGCAGTCCTGAAATCTGGGGTTGCTGTAGCCCCCTCAGCACCCCGACATCCCCTCCTAGGGCCAATTGCGGAGAAAGACACTTGAGGACTGGATCATGAGCTGCATCAGATGTGCTGGGAGCAGGGGTAATCCAAAAACGTTCAGGGCAGACATACTGCAGGACCAGGACTGAGAATCAATGCACTAATAAACTAGAGAATTAGCAAGAAGGTGAACCATATTTGGAAACTTCTCTGTGAAGAACTTCTTCACAGGCTAGGATGGTGTGGGTAGACAGAACATCTAATGTTGATGGCCTACAGCTCAGATGCATATCTGATTTCCCCCCCGACACATAAACAAGTAAATTTTTAGCAAGGTGATCTGAGGTGAGACTAACAGTTGTGTGCAAAAGTTTGAATAGTCAAATTAAATGTTTTGTTGATTTTCTTAATAGAAATCGGTTAACATCCTCTACACACTTCAATATGGCACTTTTCTGCTAAATGTGCACAATTATTATTTATTTACTAGGTTTCACACATTAGGGGGAGCAAGAAAATGTAAAAGAACATTTGCACAGGCAACATTTTATGTTTTATAATATGTCTATTTTACATTTTGTGATGTAATTCGGCAAATAAATAACAGAAATTGTGCATGAAATGTGCAGAAGTTTGTTCTCTAGTGGATCTGTTAACTTTATTTTTTAATTTTCACTTAGAAAACCAACAAAACGCCCAATTTTTTGCATGCAACTTAATATATTTACACACCTCGGCACATTTTTATGGACATAGCTTACTTAAACACAGCAATTCAATCAGTTAAGGAAAATCAAATGTGAGTATCTCATCTAATCTAAAACCAGAGGTGCTTTTTCACAGATGAAGCACTGCTCAGCTTTTTTTGCTTTTTCTTTTATGGACGCATCTCATACATACGACTGACAGCTCTTACAGGCAATATGAATTAGATTTTTTGCTATAATAATAATAATACTAAATAAATTAATGTACAAAACATCATTATGCAATTAATTTAACTACAACAATTACTAATATCTATTTAATCAATGAACAAAATTGACATTGACACTGTCACGAATTTATACAAATGACACTGTCATTTGTGTTTTGTCATAGCTTATTATAGTGAAATGGAATCATTAAGACACAAATTGATAGATGCCTCAACTTCATTATAAAATTTGAATGCTGTGCTTTGATTAAAAAAAAAATTATTTTTGAAAAAGACTGGGACTAGGTCACTAAATCACTGAAACTAAGGGGCCGAGCCCAAAACGCAAAAAACAGTGCCAGACCATTATCCCTCCTCCACCAAACTTTACTGCTGGCACCATGTATTCCTATAGGTAGCATCCACCAAACCCAGATTCGTCCATCAGACTGCCAGATAGTGAAGCCTGATTCTTCACTCCAAGGAACACATGTCCACTGCTCCAGGGTCAGCGTAACGACTTGCTCTGCATCCGGATGCTGCGAGACCGTTCAAAAAATTCCAGACGGTTTTCAAGGGTCTGCTAGGATTGAGCCATCAAAACGGGTTGGTCATGTCTCATATCTTATTAGCTAATACTTCTATCAGAGTCACGATTAATAGTCATATTTTTGATTAGAAGGAAAAGTGTTATTTTTCTCTTTCTTTGTATCGTTAGCTAGCCCACGGAACTAATGACTGTTTTAACTTCTCTTTGCTTTTTTTCAATACTGATACAAAACTATTGCAGATTCTGGTTCTGCATTAGCCTCTCTGTGCAGCAATGAGCAAGGCTGTGTCAAGTTGCACTATTCGCCGAGGGGCATGTAGAGATGTCAAAAGGAGACTGGATGACATAACGGAGGATCAGACTGAGCAAAGGGCAACAGTTCTAAGACAAATTGAGACAGGCAGTGAGCTTAGTTTGAGTTATGAAATTGGAAGAGGGAGGGAGGGAAGATTCAGAAAGTGAAATGGCAGAAGTAAGAAGTTG